AAATAGTATAATGTACATACAATACAATACACAAGATTAAATATTTCGGTTAAAGACCTCTAAAATTATCAAGGGGTCACTAGATATAGTTAATTAGAAATAGATAAGCATTGTTTAAATTGAGCATTTTCATAATGATTAAGTGTGACATGTTTTAATTATATAGTAAGAAAAATCTGAATGAACTTTAATTCAAATTATTGAACACACAGATTTTTTTAAAGGAACCCTATTGCGAAGTTTTTTTTTCTATCTGCCCTCTTGACCGCTAAAAATCATATGAACAACTTGAATTTTGCTGAAAATTACAATTACTGAATTCCAAACAAGATGCAAGTTTTTATGGAGGGAAAATGGAAAAAATCGATTTATCAGAAATCGGTACGCCGTAGAAAAAAATATTTCAAATAAAAAATGCAGCTGAGATAATTTTAAATAAAAATGTTCTTTAGAACTTTTTGTGTAAAATGAACCGTTCTCTCAAAAACAATGCTTGAAGCAACTGGTGATTGTAATGTCAGTTACTCAAATGAAATCAATTTTAAATAAAATGTGTGTCAACTCGACGGTAAAAATTTTATATCTTTTGATTGAGTATCCTATCGACAAAAATCAAAATGCGTTTTAAATGTAAAGAGGCAGCTTTCGTATGCAATTTTTGTATTTGTCCGCAAATGAAGACAGTTTTTATAAAGGTATTAAATTTCTTTCATTGACCTGGAAAATTGATTAGTAGACTTGAATAATCAGTAGAATACATATATTGAATATTTTATGCAAATATTTGGTGATTTTAATGGTAAAAACATTCTTTTATCTTCATTTTTAACTAAAAACTTGCAACAAAGAACTCAGAATATTCCTTCATATTTAAATTCTAATAATACTTTAACAAAAAACCATTTAACTATTTACAACCTTAAACTCGTTCTACTCATCACTAATTGGTGTTGACTCTTCATAGTATTCGATATTTCTAATTCCCGACGAATCAGATCATTTGTAGGCTGGACTAGGCAGTATAATTAGTCGGAAAGGAGTACAATCCTCTTTAAATCTGCTAATTGAATTATTAGGACAGTGCAATGGGTGGATTTTTAATAACTAGCTGTAATTCCCATTGAGGCATAACTCTGTTAGCATCTGCGTATAAAATATTCGCCAATGTATTGTTTGAAAGACTTAAATATTTTAGAAAGGATACTGTTGGACAATATCAATGCGGATTTACTGCTGGAAAGTCAATTACACATTAAATTCAAGCACATAGGCAGATTCTAGAAAAGTCACTAGAATATAGCATAGAAAGATAGATACACACCATCTCTTCGTCGACTTGAAAGCAGCCTATGAAAAGAACTGCACTATATAATGCAGTAAAAGACTTTGGGATCCCACTGTTTGACATTAATGTAAGATAGGCTTAACGTAAACCTGGTAACTATGTCAAATATGTCAATGTCAAGTCAACACCACTTCCCAACGGGGACAATGAGCGACATGATCATGTTGTAATGTATGAATATTATTAATATATGTTCAGCCAATACAGTAGTTTAATTGAGACCTTATTAACATACTTTAAACATGGCGCAGTCAATTCATGGAATCTACGTGTCCAAGGATAAAGTTAAGTGCTAAGTTTATTAAAAAGAAAAATTTAAGTGTTCCCAAAATGGCAAGCATGGTCAATGGAATAGATTATGTTAAGTTACCCCAAGATTTCGACCTCCAGGGTCAGAGTGCCTCTTCTGAATGGAAATTTTGGAAAATTTCATTCGAAGAATATTTAGTAGCTACAGGACAACACGACGCTGTAGATCAGGTGAAATTATCCATCCTGCGAAATATTATTGGCCATGAATCAGCACGGATTATGGCTACTCTTGTTATCCCTGATGAAGAACTAAATAAGTATGAATTCACAATGCAGCTGTAAGATAAGTATGTGAACCCAAGAGTTAACGAATGCTTTGAAACGAGTACAAGAAGATGGGGAGACATTTGAACATTTTTTGACAGAGTGCAGACATTTGGTTAGAAGTTGCAATTACAATGCCCTAGATCCCGATGAGTCATGTGAAGACAAGGCATTAAGAGACAAAATTGTTATGGGAATTAGGGATCCGACCACACGAGAAGCCCTCCTGCGAATAGACAAATTAAGTTTAAATAAAGCTATAGAATTCTGCAGAACAAGTGAGCAAAGTAGATCTCAAAATTTACAGTTTCAATATAACACAGGAAATATTAATCATACACAGAAGATAGAGAAAAAGAAATATGATATAAAGAAGAAACCTTGAAATAAAGAGAAAATTCAATTTAGCAAAAAAGAAGTAAAGTTTATGGGACAAATTTTTTCTCATTTAGGAATGAAAGTAGATCCTGAGAGGACAGATGCTTTATGTAAATTAGAAACTCCAAAAAGTAAATTAGAGTTACAAAGAATAATAGGTTCCTTTAACTATATTAGACGTTATGTTAAAAATATGGCTGAGCACATGCAAATTTTATGTGAACTTTTAAAAAACAATGTAGAATGGCAATGGTTGCCTAAACACCAGGAATGTTTTGATAAGTTAAAGAAAATAATTTCAAATTCTCCAGCTCTGGTACCATTTGATCCAAATAAAAAGATAGTTTTGCAATGTGATGCATCCAAAAATGGAATTGGGTGTTGTATGTTTCAAAACTATGAGGGTATGTTGAAATTAGTTGCATGTTCATCTAGGTCTATGAATGAACATGAAATAAATTACAGCCAGACAGAGAAAGAGTTATTAGCCATTTTTTATGGTACACAAAAATTTCATAACTTTATTTACCAGTGTGATGTTGATGTCCAAACAGATCATAAACCAATAATTTCAATTATGCAGAAACCAATATGCAAAATTGGGTCAGTAAGGTTGCAGCGTTTAAGGCTAAAATTATTAAAGTACATATTAAATATTTATTATGTTCCAGGAAAGCATATTCAATTTGCAGATATGCTTTCTAGAGCTAGTTTAAAGGCACAAACCCTTGATTTAGAGATGTTTGATATGGTTCATTCAGTCTCACTATACTTACCAATGACAGATAAAAAAATATATCAGTTCAGAGAAGAAACCTCTAAAGATAAAGTTTTGGCTACAATTGTTGATTTTTATTATAAAGGCTGGCCTAAAGAAAACAAGATTCCAGAGTATATAAAGCCATATTACAGTATTAAAAATGATATATATGTTGAAGCAGGAATTGTTTTTGTTGAAAATAAAATAATTGTACCAAAATCTCTAAAACAGGAAATGATTACTCTGTTACATAAAGGTCATATAGGAACTAGTAAAACTATTAATAAAGCAAGATCTTTATTTTTTTGGCCAAACCTTAGGGATGATATTGTCCAGTTTATATTTTATAGAGATGCTATCATTAAATAATAAAACATCTGAAGCCATAATAGATGCAATGCAAGATGTTTTTTCCAGATTTGGCTATCCTCAATTTTTAATTGCAGATAATTTACCATTTATATCATTTAAGTGTAAAAAATATTACGATAACAAACAAATTACAGTCCTGACATGTTCACCTCATTACCACCAAAGTAATGGCCTTGCTGAAAAGGCTGTAGGAATTTGTAAACAAATTTAAAAAAAAAGTTTTACAGAAAACTCTGATTATCGTGAGTTAGTTTTAGAATATAATAATACTGCTATTATTTCATTAAGTGCATCTCCATCACAAATATTAAATAGTAGATCTTTGAGAACAGAAATACCAGTAAATAGTGAACAATTACAACCTAAAATTCAGAATGAGATTTATAAACTGTTATCGGACCAACAACAAAAAACAAAAGTTCAGTATGATACACATAGTAAACGCGCACCAACAACTTATAAAAGGGGGGATAATGCAGCTGTTAAGAGTAGTGTTGATAAAGTATGGTATAAAGCTGTTATTGTAGAAAAAGCTAAAGAACCCAGATCGTACTGGATAAGAAAGGAAGGATAATTAGAAGAAACACAAGACACATAAGACCATCACATACAAAATCAGATGTAGCAGACATGTATCTTGAACCTGCGTTGTATCCACACACAAACCCAAATAGTTATAAGGATAATGATAATAATGATTTAAATAATGTATGTATTCAGGATAATGATTTAACAAATTTGTTTAATGAACATAGGAATACTGATATTGTAAGTCCTCATTATAGCTGTTCAAAAAATAATGATAGTAAGAAATATAATGTTTCAAAATTCGGACGTACAATTAAACCTAGGGTACGCCTTAATCTTTAAGGGGAAGGTGTTTGACATTAATGTAAGATAGGCTTAACGTAAACCTGGTAATTATATCAAATATGTCAATGTCAAGTCAACACCACTTCCCAACGGGGACAATGGGCGACATGATCATGTTGTAATGTATGAATATTATTAATATATGTTCAGCCAATACAGTAGTTTAATTGAGACCTTATTAACATACTTTAAACACCCACCTAAGTTAGTTAAGTTGGTCCGACTAACAATGCAAAACGTAAGCTCATGCGTTAGAATTGAAGGAGAAATTCTACGTTCTTTGACATTAATAATGGTCTAAGACAAGGGGACGCTTTAAAAACAACATTCTTCAGCAGCAACTTTGATTCATTACTCAAGAGATTACATTACATTACAACTGTATAATTTCTTCAAACATGCATGTCTTAAAGCATATTTTATGAACAATTTTGTTTGTGAATTAGCAGTGGCACACCCAGGGGGAGGTTTTCCAACACTGTTACTTAAAAATTTTAAGGATTCAAAATGGAGGTAGCATAAAAAAATTTGGTTGCACAACCAAAACTCCCCCACAGGAAAATTCTAGGTGTGCCACTGTGAATTGGAGACCAATTGGTGGATTGGAGATCAATGTTGGCGATACGATTATGCAGTTTGAAGAAAAGATACCAAAAACTACTATAATGAACTTTTGTAGTAAAAAAATCAACTCACCTGTCCTAGATCAATAGTTAAATTGACTTCATTATATTTCATTCCTCTGGATAGAGGTGGACTTTGCCACCAGTATTCTCTGCCATCCACAGCAAATTCTGGAGGGTGCCTTTTGTCCGATTTTGTGGGATCACAAACATCACAGTACTAAGGAATAAAATAGTTATTAATATTTTTATTGTAAATTAACTGTGATGCTATTAGATAACTAAATAACAGTACGGTAAATTACTATCTTACTTTAGCATGCATTTTTTTATTAGTCTTTAGAATATATGAATGTTTATGTTTTTAAGAAATATTTTAAGCAAATTATGGAGCTAATTCTAACAGATTTCGTAGTTGTTTTAGAGAATTCTTCGTATCATTTTCAAGATCTGAAAATGGTCTAGAACTGCTGCTTGGAAAAAGAAAAATAATTGAGTGCCTTTCGGGAAAAAAAATTGGATATGGTGAAAAAAGAACTATTGATAATTGTGAACGAATACAAAGATTTATTTGTAAAATATATTCTTAACGAAATTGATAAAGTAAACGGAATATTCTATATTCTCATACATTAAGGGTACAGGCGCAAAATTTCGGCTGTCAAAATGTTCATTTGAAATTTTGTCGAATCCTGAGTAAACTAATAAGTATTTTTGAAAAATTTAAACCCGGAATGAAAGATAGCATTATTACCGAGAGTCGAAAGCCCCTTAGGATAACCAAAAAGTTTCTTTTGAATGAGAGGTTTGAAATTAGGGAAAAAAGTACTAAATTTTCTTTTTTGTTTTCTCCGTAATAACGTAATCTTTCATTCTGCGTTTAAATTTTTCAAAAATATTCAATAGCTTTCTCAGGATTCGAAAAAATGAGTACATTTAAAACACATTAAACATTTTGACAGGCGACATTTTGCGCCTACGCCCTTCTACCACTACAATCCTATTGAAGTTATATTAGTTTAAGTAAAAGGTTCTATGGTAAGGAAAATATCTCCATACTCCCCTCTCACTCTATCTCCCTCTCTCTTTGTCTCTCTCTTTCTCTCTCTCTCTCTCTATCTCACTCCCTCTTCCTCTGTGTTTCTCTCTTTGGAATCATTATTCTTTGTGGAGTACACACACACAGACTGTGCATTTCATCAGGCAAAGTGAAGGGATCATCTTTCTTAAACTTTTTTCCTCTGTATCTGTCTTTTTGCACGGAGGGATTGCAATTGGAGTGGTTATACGCATATATGTACTTTGATGTCTTCTTCGGGGCTTCTGAGGTCTCAGTCTTCCGTGCCCCTAGACACTACTACAGTTTGCACGAACATTTCTGACAGTAGGATTTTTATTTTCTGGTAGAGTGAACGATATTTTCTTTCTGAGAGGTCTTTATGTCGAAGGTAACCGTATGCCATCATGTCTTTTTTAATACCATTTGTTTTTTTTTTCAATTTCTATGACTTTTCGGATAATTCTTGGTTTAGAGAAGCGGATGGGGGTTATAGTTTTGGAGTTTTCAAAATCAATTTTGTGATCTATACGAAGATGGTGTTGATCTAGAGCTGAAATTGAATCGGAATTGCGAACAGAAATGGAATGTTCATAAATCCTATTTTGGATTCTACGATTTGTTTGGCCTATATAGGATCGGGGGCAGTCTGCACAAGGAATTTCAGAAATTCCATGTTATTCATTTGGAATGTTGTCTTTGATTGATAGGACTAAAAGATCGGACAAAGAGATGAAAGATTTTGTTGGGGGATAAATATTGTCATTATTCCTCTTGATTTAAGAATATTGTCGATTTTGTCAGTGACGGCTTTGATGTAAGGAAGAAAAGCTTTCGTATGATGGGAGTTTGAGTCTTTGGGTTGCGATTGCGTGGGAGATTGATGTCTGTGGATGCTCCTATTAATGTGATTTTCTGGGTCCAAATCAAAAGTTTAGAGTGGGCCTTTTTTGATCCAAATCAAAAAAGACATACGTAATGAACTAAATGTTTACGATACAAAAGACAAGATAGCTGGAGGGGCGTTCAAGTATTACGTAAAACACTTTGAGGGGGGGGGTCTTGTAAAAGGTTATGGTGCGTTACAGAGGTGGTAGTCTTACGTAACATTGTTTTTTTACTTAAATAGTGAAAATTATAATCTACCATGTTGGGAATCCTATTCATTAATCTTGTGTTGAGAATATCTCGTTTGTATTAAATATATGTCCTTTTTATTTTGTTTTCGTTGTCAGTATTCAATAATGTTTTTGCATCATCAGCTATTCTTAGCCCTTAAATGCTGTTATGCTGACTTTTCAGCACAAAAAAATGCCAACGAAGTTTGGAATCGATTATTGGAGTCGCTGAAAGAGAGAGCATACCATCAAATGAAAGATGAGCAGTACCCAAGATGAGCGAAGTGAGATTACTGATGGCGAAACTGGACAACCTGGATATCTTCCGATTGTTTTTTGTTAAAAAAAACCGACTCAACAAACTCTTATCAAAAAAATTGGCCTAATACTACAGAGAATAAAAAATGTCCCTACTGAAGCAAGCAACACGGATATAGCGAGAGATGATGTATTTTTAAGAAAGAAAAAAAATAATACATAAAGAATTAAAAAAAGAAGAAAAATATTTAAAGGAAAATGAGAAAAACGTTTCCAGGACGATTCGAAGCCTAGTCCTGGAATCCTACGAATCCTATAAAATGACTTTTGGATCCTATTCCAAAATGATGTACTTATTCAATTTAATCAATCATACCAATCAATAAATCTGGAAGGTATAGTTTTCGGAACAGCTGCAGAAAAAGTGATTTTACCGACTTTCACTTTCACTTTCGTTACTTGGGTGGTACGTTACGGTTAGTTAGGGGTTGAGGGAAAAGAAAACGTTACGGTATGTTACAGATTCACAGAGTTATATGAGATACCATATTCACAGGATGGAAAACAAAAAACTACCCAAAAAATACTCAATTATAATCCAAAAGGCAAAGAAGACCTCGAAAAATATGATCATAATAAGACGGAATAGGCAAGCTCAATCACTGTGCTGAAACTAATAAGAAGAAAATAAAATGTTTTGTTTTATACTGATATGGGTTTCCCCTGGTAAATTAAAATTAAAAGCTACTGACTGTCTGTCACACAATACAGTGCATTTAATACAGTGCAAAAATGTATGTAGTGTGCATTTTATTTGATATTATTTAAAACTGCTTACAATGTGTAATACTAAACAAAACAAAATTACGGCAAACTTACCGGAAAACAATAAAAAAGACATGAATATTATTTAATGTGGTAATTAAAGACATTTCTATCAAAAATATGTAGATGATATTTTGAATAATCTAATATACTCCATTACCACTCTATAAGGAATCATTATAAAACTTAAAAATCACTAGACAGGATTTATTTATTGGAAAGTTTGTTGTAATACAAGAAAGGTAGTACAAGATAAGTCTCAAAAGGCTCTGAAACTGTTTCTCGTTATTATTTCTGTTTCAGAAATAATAACGAATCCAGAGAACTACATAGCTATAATAGAGCAAAACGCCACAATCTATAAATTGGTTGAAGACTGGGACGCGTTTTATTAGAAAACCTCAGTATTAGAAGTTATTAAACCACCAGGAGCTTGGCACTTTCAATTTCAACACTTCCATCGGTGTTCCAAAGGGCATTTGTAAGAAATTAAAACATATTCGTTCGATTAATCCTGACAAATTTGAAGCTGGCAGAGTAAGTGACAAAAAGAAGGCCCAGAGTGTTGCCAAACTATTAGAAACGCATTATGGAACTGATTGGCAAGAAAATTCCGATTTGAAGTTTTATAAAGATGTCATACATTTTTCTCTAAATGATGACGAGAGTGATTCGCAACTATTGACAAATGAGTTATGTGAAGAATTTTCTCCAGAAGAAACAACTAGGATGTAAAATTTGTTTTGTTAAAAAAGTTCATTTTTAATTTATAACAATAATTATATAAATATAAACAAATAAATATGTTTTAAGTAATAAAAATCTAATGTTTATGATAATTTATTAAGTGAATTTAAAAAAAACACGTTTCACCGAAGTTTTCTGAAATTTCCAATCCAAAGTTGCTAAATTTTGTTGTAAATCCCGACATGTTCATAAATAAAACCAATTTTATACCGAAACTGCAGCTCAAATATTTTTTATTTTGTATTCTAATAAAACATTATACTAGAATACAAGTAAATCAAACAGAAAACTAAAAATATCACTGGAGTCATCTGTAGAGTTTTTCGCGTTTCCTGAAAATTTTGATAGATGTGAATTGGCGGATTTTGCTTCTATACCTCTCATTTATTGTATTACCAAAATTTTATAATAAAATTTAAGTAAAGTTTCAGAAAAAAGCCCTTGTAAGAAATTATCTATTTTGAAAAAAAACTAAACACAATTTCAATTTTAAATCGTAACTAAATTTATTATTATTTATGAATCCAATAAATCAAAAAGGGTCAATTAAAGTTATAGGATTAAAGAGTTTTACAGCCGCTCATACATCTTGTAAACATTATCGTTAGGGTATTGCGGGTGGTAAACAAAAACCTCTCTCAGTGCTTCCACAAAAGCCATTCATAAAAGTATCAAAAGCCAACCTACCTGCCCTTGGATAACATTAACAGCGAGATCATTCTCAGAATTGGCGCCGATCAATTTACAAAACAACTCAGGTCCTTCAATACCTTCACCGCACGTGGCCGAAGCTGTAATATTTTTACCTTCCGCCAAGTTGAAATACGGCGGGGTTAACGATTCGCCCTGTATACCGACCAAAAACAGGAAAAGTGCAAGGAAAGCCCGTAGACTTTCCTTAAATGTTATTCGCGTTAACATCGTTAAGCGACTGAATGAATGAGTGGCATGAGTGGCCGGCTTTGCCTCTGGTGGCGTGGTATCGTGGAATTAGGAATAAAAGATGGTATGGGAAATGGTCCTAATCGCCTCCCCGACCGTCGTCGTCGACAGCATGCTTTGAAAATGTGTGTTGTCTGCAGATTACTGCCTGGAGCAGGACCGTCTTTGCTACTTCTTGTTACTTAATATAAGTAACATTTTTACAGCAACATGGAATGAGCCTTTTTCGTTTTGTTTTCATATTCTGTTGACATTAAATTTAGGAAATATTATCAGATGATTAACCAAATAGTTATTTATCTATCAAGTGAGTAAAGTGATAATTTATCAACGAATCTGAGAATGTAGCCGAGTGTCCTAGCGAACGATGTGTGTGAGGCGAGTTTAACCCGTAACCGGTGACGTCCGATTTTAGGAACATAACCGGTGATGTGGAGTCTCCGGGACTCATCATAAATATGCTGGTCTCATTCAAATTTAAATAATTATTTTATCACATTGTTAATAATAATCTGTTCTTTAGGCATTTTTGCAATATCCTATTGCCTTTTTAGTTCTTTCTGTTACTGACTATTCTTATTATTAACATTTTTGTCAAAAGTTGCAAATAAATAAAGTACGGTGTTACGTCGGAAAACTTAATTTTTTTTAATATTTCTAAATTTGGTATGTACAAATGGTTTTAAATATTAGGTATAACAAATATTGAATAATCTATGGCAATAAAAATTATCATCAGTAGTCTAAACGTAATTTTTTTATTCTTTTGAACGTTACAGTTTCTGCATATTTTATGAGAACAAATCAAGCAAATTGGTTTTTTACAACAGACGCATAAATAAAATGTCTTCCTATGAAGTTTTGATGGGCAAATGTAGCAATACTTTCGAACTGCTAACCGATCTTCTTGAATAGAAGGAGGTTCAACCACGCACAGTATTCGCTTTATGTTTTCTCTTATTTCTGTCGGGATTCTGCTGTTATACATTCGTTGTTTCATGTGTGCTTCAATTAAGCTTTTAGCCAGTACCTTCATAAAATCTTTCCTGTCTAAGGGTTTGGATTCTCTATAACACTGATACATAACGAAAGCGTTAACTGCACTCATATCTAGTATTTTGTAAAATATAGCCATTGGCCAACGTTGCGTTCTTCTGGACGAACTGTTAACCGTACATTTTTCATCCAAAGCATCAACGCCGCCTTTCGTCATATTATACAGACTAATTATTTCTGGTTTTTGTGTTTTTTCATCTATGGCTATACTATGATGCATGGAGGATAATAGTATGATGGCTTTGTTTTTTTTAGGAACATACGAAAGAAGGCTAATGTCTTTTGTAAATCCGTATCTAACTGAACCAATCTCTCTATGCCTTTGAGGAAGAAACTCAGGAGGAATGTGTCTTTTAACCTTTTTCATAATTCCCACATATGTTAGGCCATTAGATTTCAACAACTGAACTAGTTCTATAGACGTGAACCAATTGTCAACTGTCATATTACGATTACTGCCAAATAATGGCTTAGAAAGCCGTAACACAGATTGAGTAGGTTTAGCAAGCTTTTTCTCAGTTACTGAAAGGCCCATTCCGTCGGAATCTTGGCCTGTATATACATACGCATTGTACACATAGTTGTTTCTTGCATCTGTTAATATCATAATTTTAAGTCCATATTTTCGTGGTTTGTTTGGAATATACATTCTAAAGCGTGATCTACCCCGGAAACCAACTAACATTTCATCAATGCATACATATTCACCAACAGAAAACTCCGTTTGACAGTTTTGAATAAAAGATTCAAATAGTTCTTGAATTGGTGCTAGTGGATTTACCGCTTTTCGTTGTTCTCTCGTGGAAGGGTCATCAAAACGTAAACAAGTCAATAAAACTGCAAACCTCTTTGGCACTCATTACGGACCGAAAAATTTCTCTGCCCGTTCCATATGTAGCAAATAGACATTCTATGTCTTCATCATTGGACTTAAATACTGAGGTGTAAATTAGAAGCCTAAAAATGCTTCCATTTCGACCTGGTCGACATTTTTTAATTCCGGCCTCTTTTCATTTTTGTATTTGACCCTAACACTCGCCAATTTTACATTTGTCCATTCGACTACAACATTTAACATTTGATTTGTAAATAAACAGTTCCAAATTTCCTTTGGAGGTGTTGAAAGACCAAGAGACCGAGCCTTTCCTTGCAGCCCCGGTAAATGTACAATAATATTATGCTTTTGAGTACGAATATTTTTTGGTGCACTAGCTGACCACTTAAATCTGTTTTTACCATAAAAGTAGTTTGAAGATCTTGACGCCAATATATTATTTTCATCATCACTGGACGAGTCATGTTTTAAGTTTCTGGAATATTGTCTTCTGGATCAGATTCACTATCAGACTGCTCAGATGCCGACTCATCACTGCTTTCTATTACCGCATCACTGTCAATATCATCAATATCACTATATTCAGAGTCCAAATCATTGAACCAATTTAACACTTTCTCTTCAAATTTCGGATCTGTAACACTAACCGATCGCGACGTACTTGGTAGATGATCCATTATAGTTTATACGAAGAAATATAACACTCGATAAAAGTAACTAACGGTGACGTTGAGTCTCGCTGACTCCAATATATTGGAGTTATAACGTCTGTTCTCGCAAACGGCTAAACGTAAACTAATCAAACAAAAACGCTTGGTTTATGAACTATTTTTAGAAAGGTACTTAGCCGCAGGCCATCCAGAGTCGTCCGCTTCAATATTTTAAACCGGTTTTTAATTTCGCCAGAGTCTCTCAAACTCCACGTCACCGGTTACGGGTTAATAAAGACCTTTTACTGCCGTAGTCAATAGAAGCTTTTATCACGAATTTATTATTATAAAAAAATAAAAAACATGACAACTAAAGAAACGGAAACGAAACGACTGCTGAGAATTGGCCACAAGTTCTATACAAGAATGTAATAAACTTAAAAGACGAAATATCACTATGTTTCAGTTTTGATATAGTAATCCAATTCAAATTATATTTATATTATTTTCTAAAGACGCAGTGCGTCGATTATTTGAACGTCGATCAACCGGTTATCAGAATATTGTTCTGAAGCTATTTTCTTGTGGCATTTTAAATTAATTACTATTTAACTGGGAATAAGCAACAATTAAATGTAAAAATACGTTTATTGACGTTTCAGTTTCCACTTCGGAAATCTTCGTTTTTTGAGAACGATTTACGAAGTGGGAATTGAAACGTCAATAAACGTGTTTTTACGTTAAACGGTTATCAGTTAAACGGTTATCAGAACTCCCGACTCTCACAATTTTTGCAAGACGCTGATTCATTAATACATTGTCACTTGGCATTTAATATACCTATATAAAAGGGTCATTTAATATCGGTCAAAATAGTGTATGCATCACATTCTTGAAATTATTGTCGGTTGTAAATATTCCTATATATGTAATAGTATAGTGAATGAAGGTAAAAATCAGCTATTACCTCCAATTTCGGTGAACCTCCATCGATTTCCATGAAAATTTATTATTGAGTATATTTACCTTCAACCTCAAAAGTGACATATGCTCAACTTGTGCTTTTTGAATTTTGGGGGTGAAATCCACACCTTTTGTTAAAAATGGTAAAAATGCAGATTACAGCATTCTGGCATATATTATCTCGATTAATAAATAAAATAAATATTTTGCAACATTTATAAGTATGATTTATGATTTTGATTAATTTTTTAACTCTTAGCAACTATCCCTTAAATCAAAAATCATTTTTTATATTCTGAAATATCAAATCGCATATTAATATTTTCCAAATAGTTTCTTTAATGTTTACAATATAATTTTTGATTGACTGTACACTTTCAACCCTTAAAAACAACAATTCTAAAATTTTGTTCTCAGTTGCACAGAAAGTGTTTTTACCGTCTCGTCTATATCCTGACCATATCTACAATCCGCACTTTCTGTCAGTGCGATTTTATTGATTTGTCCCTTTAGGCTACAGTCTACGTCTACAGTGGCCTCTTAAGAGATCTACGATAATTCGCAGATCCTTCCTATTCATATCTCATTTAATAAAAGGACGGTAACCCCTAGCATCACCTAGGAAAGAAATCAGAACTATCGACAGACATTTCAACCACAGAATACTCCATCCCAACCAACCACCATCAGTGGGTTGAGATGGTGTATTCTCTGTTTCAACCCACTGAGTCTTAATCAATCTTCTTGAAACGATATGGTTGATTTATTGCATACATTCTACAAATTGATGATTAAAACTAAACTTACTTAAAAAATACATTAAACTAACTGTAGAATGACAAAAAACGTGTATTATTTGGTAAAAAAAGGAGACAGGAGACAAAAAAGTCGCAGAGCATTTTTAAGTAACATTCACCACAGTCTTTTACAATTTTGTAATATTGCCAATAAAATTCCAAACTTTTTAATCTACAAATTGAATGACGTATGACAGACGAAAGCTATATTCAAAGGAGCCCATACCTTACCTACGGTATTATGTCTACGGCTTGAATCCGGTTTGCTGCAGAATTAGATTCTGTTCAATCAGTTGGATTTTTACCTGAATCATATATTTGGTTGAAGAAATACGTGAGATGCTTTCAGTCAAATATTTTAAGAACTTTTGCATACACATTGTCATGACTAGGACTCTTTCGATTTTTCCTTGCTTTTAGAACTTGTTGAAGCTCAAACTCCAGAATTTCTGTGCCCAGACTATTTTTTCCAGCTGACAGCTTGTCTAAAGATCGATGAATAGATTTTTCTATGAAACGTCTGGACAGTTCGAACTCATCGCATGTCAAGTCGCAACCATTATCGAAGATTGCGTCTTTTAATGGTCATAACTTAAATTAATTACTATTAAACTGGGAAAATAGCTTCAGAACAATATAACTTAAATTGTTCCGTCGTGTCACAATATATAAATATACTTCCATATATTTCAAGAATTATTTCGCGGATCTCTTCTGATTACAACGCAGATCTTGGGAGTTCTTTGACTTGGTTGAGAACCGCTGATCTATGAGTTAGAGGATAAATGCTTTTTAATAAAACACTATAAATATATCAGGCTTTTATTAAACTTTTAAACTTAAACTACAAATCATATAAAAATGAGCAAATGTATAGATGTAGGTACAATTATCACAATGGTAGATATATTTTTCGATAAAAACTAAATATGAATAACATGAATGTACAATATATAACTGAAGTTAACCATATATATGATTCAGACTCAACCATTATATAGCCCGAATATACAGAAATCTCTAATTTAAATCATTTAATAACCACAATTATTACAATATTTACAGATGGTATCAAATTTAATGATATAACAAGTGGAGCACTTGTTTTAAACATCAACCATGTACAATAATTTAGTAATTCACTAAGTATAAAAAATAGCAGATACATTTTTTATATAAAGTGTCGAGTTTTTGTCCATAAAAATGCTTATTATGCTACACAGTAAATCCAGTTCAAGAAAATTAGTAAAATAAAAAATAATTCTTGTGTGAATTATACAGAGTTGGTCACCTCTTTTTAATACAATTTTTAAAAACATTTAAATGCAAACTTTTGCACATTTCTTGTAGCACAAATGACAATAAACAGTATTAATAAAGTGTTTTCGTTCATGTTCATCAAATTAGATAGCATCTTTGTACGCTTAGGGGAGAACGGGGGAATTCCGTGCAGTGGGTAAATCCGCGCAATAAAGTAACTAGTAAACTGTTACATATTATGATGAACTGTGTAAGTCTATCATCATTTTCTGCTGTCTTCGTGTGGCTCAAGATGCTTAGCCTAGCACAAAATTGAGTATGTTATGAACTTACAAAGTTTATGTGTAGATAAAAATATGTTTTTGGTTTATATCCTGATGAACATGTTCACATACGCCGAGAAAAATAATATGCAGATGTTTTTAATGCAGAAAACAAACGGCGGGAAGAGGTTGGTTAGCTCTAATCATGAAGCGAAATTCACAGATCAGGTTACGCCACCCTGAAGCTAGAAATCTGAATAGAATTACCGCATTCAACTTGGAAAGAAGTAAAATTATTTTTTAATAATATTAAAACTTTGAATGAAGCATAAATATAAATTTACTCAAGATCGTATCTATAATAATGATGAGACCGGTATTACAACTGTATAAAAGTTAGTAAAGATTTTGAGAGAAAAAGGCCAAAAAGGAATAGGTTCAGTGACTTCTTGCGAAAGAGGTAAAACGGTCACTATTCTTTGTGCATTCAATGCTTCAGGGTCTTATGTACCACCAATATTCATTTCCCAAGAAAAAGAATGATTGAAGAACTTCAAAGAAATGGCCCAGCAGGTGCTTTCTATACATGTTTAGATAATTGCTTGATAAACGAAACGTTATTTGCGGGGTGGCTGACAATTTCAGCGCCATGCAAAGCCATCCAAAGAATAGATACTCTTTATTCTAGACATGTATGATTGGCATCATATGATTTGTGCAAAAACGTTGGTGCCTATCCCTCCCATAGGCTACAGCCCTTAGATTTGGCATTTTATGCTTCCCTTAAGAAAGCCTATAATAAACAGTATGACAACATGAGAGCAATCCGTTTGAAAAAATACCTCACTATAAATTAGCCGAAACAATTAACTTGGTTTAAAAGTGGCGACAATGAATGTGGAATCATATCTGGTTTTAAAGCTGCAGGCTCATTTTTCTGTTGGATTCAGATAAATTCCATGATGAATTAAATAAATCAGATGAAGAATTTGCTCCACTTTTATCAGACGAACATATTCAACCAAATATAATCGATAAAGAAAGTGAAGACGTCAGTGGGTTTCCAGCGGATCCTGGTCCATGTTACATTCATTCTCAATCATTATCTAATGGATGTACCCAGTCTTTTCCCATACTTATATTTGTTCAGTATCAGTTCTGAATTATCTCAGCCGATATCTCTTCTAACTCCTGATAAACATGTTGTATAATCTAAATGTGATTCTCTAACTTTCGATAGAAGAAACAGCTCCTCTTGCACATATTACATACTTACAAACAATCAGGAAATTAAACAAAAGAAAATCCTTATAGGCCAGCATAATAGAAAGTGCCTCATAGCTTTTATTTAATCTTCATTATTATGTATCACATCACTTCGAGTTTTTCTTTCTAATATTCAACAGATTCGTAGATAAACATAACCTACTAAATAACTAGTATTATTTTAGGTTATGTAAGGTTAAGTTCAGTTATATACTGTTCATTTAAATTCAAGGAATAATTGTGATGATTTAGGTCAATGAGTGGTCATTACACATAAATAAAAGAGGTATATAATAATTTTATCTATGCTATATATAAAAACAGTCCTAACAAAAAATTATAGAGTATTTTTATTCTAAAATGTACAATATATAGTTTAATAAAAAAAATATAATTAGTTTAGACCCCTTAAGTTGATTCATTAGTTATTGTATACAGCATCTTATTGTGCTGAAGGGTTCATGATGCCGGGGTTGCTTACTTTGAGCAACAGACATCAACAGATTCGTGGATAAACATAACCTACTAAATAACTAGTATTATTTTAGGTTATTTAAGGTTAAGTTCAGTTATAAACTGTTCATTTAAATTCAAGGAATAATTGTGATGATTTAAGAATAATGAGTGGTCATCATACATAAGAGGTATATAATAATTTTATCTACGCTATATATAAAAACAGCCCTAACAAAAAATTATGGAGTATTTTTATTCTAAAATGTACAATATATAGTTTAATAAAAAAATATAATTAGTTTAGACCTCTTAAGTTCACCCATTAGTTATTTTATACAGCATCTTATTGTGCTGGAGGGTTCTTCATGCTGCTGCGGTCGTGTATTTTGATAGCTAAGCACAACCAGTCGTGTATTTTACCTAGGAGCTGTCCTTTATTAGCTAAAAAAGATATTCAGAAAAAGGAAAGGGGATACTATGAAACTACTATTAGTGAGACAGATGCTGTACTAGTAGCGGGTCGATAATTCCGTAGTTTGCATTGCTTCAAATAGATATGGCATCAATCCAATAACAAATGTTAGACGTTATTCGCAAAAGGAAAAAAACACATACAAGTTAGCAGAAAAGCAGTACCTGCAAAGTATAACAAAAAAATGGGTGGTACTGATCGAATGGATCAGAATGTTGGACAGTACAGGATCAAATTAGAAACAGAAAATTGTACTGGGCATTGTTTACATGGCTTCTTGATGTTTCAGTCAATAACCTGAGGTGTTTGTATCGAAAATCAAACTCCCAGATGTCCCAAATAGACTTTTAAAGGGCTATCGTGCAAGTTTATTTGAAGAAATATTCGTCATCTCCCAAAGTCACTGGCAGGACTCCATCTTCTAATGCGCAAAGAGTAGTCGATGAAATTAGATATGATAGGATGGAACACCTAGTGGATACAATTCTAAACGACAAAAGAAGACGTTGTGCTGGAAGATTTTGCAAAAGTTTAACCCTCACGGTGTGTAAAAAATGTAACTTAGGTCTCTGTTAAAAATCCCCAAACCAAGATATTTCATGTTAAGGTGTGAAAAGATCTAGGAGTCGAAACAATTACTTTACCTACAATCTACATGTAATATTTACAGATATAATCATTAAAATATACAATCTCAATAGCTGCCATTTTAGTTGCGATGACACATGAATACTATTTACAACACTTTAATCTCTCTTGGGATGTTTGAACCAGTAAGCTGCTATCATTACTGAGCTACTCAAGAAGGTGTTGATAGTGAAATTAAGAAGTAAGGTGAGATCCATTGATTCCACACATATAGTGAATACACGAGCTGAAAGAAAAAAGAATTTTGATATAATTAAAGTCAATTAAATAAATATATATGTTGTAAATTAGTGTAACATATTTGAAAGATATTTCTGTGGTTGTATAGCTACAGTTGATATATCCATCTAGCATAATGGTTTAAGCAAAAAATTTTAACTTGAAATGTGTTATAAAATCAGCATTATTGTTAAAAAGATTTAAAATAAATAAAGAAACTTATTTTAGCAGTTTCATCAACTTTTGCCATTGATGATTTAACAAATTACTACAGAGAAACAGTTTGAAATCTTAATATCATTAATATCTTCATTCAAGAAAGGTAAAATGTCACATCATTTTAAATAATGATTAATTTGCTGTCCAATAGTACAATAATTTAATATTTTTTATTTAGAAATTCTTTAAAATACTTATTGTAATACACTATAACTTTTTAATAAATCTATTAAAAGTGTGTCATACTTACTAAAATTAGTAAATGCAGAGATAAACCATGTAAGAACACTCACTGATTCTGAATTTCTTGTTCTTAAAATCTCATAAAGCTGTACAACTTTTGAGGAAGCTCCAATTGGGGTACAGAGGGGCTAAAAACATGCAAAAATATTAGACTTGTAGACATTTAGTCTTGTGAACTTTCTACAATTTGAACTAGTTTTTAATGCTCAAATGGATAAAACATTTTTTTAATACTTTCTGGATCCTTTACAACATGTTACTGAATACATAAATTGTATGACATAAAAAACAATTGTTCTCAAATGATCTTATTCTAGTCTCAGATGCTTACATTTTCCACCAATCATTTTTAGTTTTGTAACCCATTTCTATACAAGATGAGCCACAGAAAACTTTCCACGCAGGTTTTGTTCTAATTGATGAAAAAAAAAGCCTGACCCATCAATTTTTATTTTTAGGAGGCATATACTCCCATCTTTCTAAGAGACTCATTAATATTTAGCTCAGTAGGGTGATATTGTTTGAGGGTGAAATTCCATAAACAAGTAGATCATATTGTCATTTCAAATGACTAGATTTCGAGAAATTAAGTTAGCACATTTAGATTATCAAATGTACACACTAAAATTAAGTATATTTTTTATTATGTGCATGTTTTGTTTATAACCCTGGTACAACTCATTTGGCCATTCTATTAATTTTTTTAAATGTCCCCTACTGACATAGCTCAGAGTGTTCTTTAACATTTTGGAGCATTTGGAAAGTAATATTGCTTCACTCAATTGGAACAAAATGTAAGTGGAAAGTTTTTGGTGGCCATCTGTACATATCTTCTTACCAAAGTGTAATGGACTAAATAAAATTAATTAAACATGCAAAAAACAGAAGATTCAAACTTTACGTGATTAGGTACTTACCACTAAAAAAGCAAGAAGTCCCAGTGGGACCATTCCCAGTAAAAATGAAGCTGCAGTTAAAAAGTAAACAGATGCGCCAGCTAAACTGGTAATATTTAACATATCTTTATAGTATAACACACAAACTATTAGTATTATTTCTTGAATTAGTATAATGGGATATTCAAGATAGCTTAAAATAGCATATCCACTTCTATAATTGTAGGACATCATGATGGTGTAGCTAAAAAATATTTAATCATAAAACTGTTAGAACGTTAAATGGTTATCATTAAGAACAAAAATAAAGTTGAAACAATAAAGAATAAAGTAGTAGACATTACCACAGACAAGATATTGTTCTTTCTTCTTCATTCTTCATCTATATGAAAATATTGTTTGAAAAGTACATACATATACAAACTATTAGTATAGTCAATATAACATTGTATATCCTGGATACTATAGACAATAAATATTTGACTTGCATTATTAAATGGGACCCTTGTTTTGAGACTTAAGATTTATATGTTCAATTTTTAAATAAAAATGTATCATGAACAGTTTATCAGTTGTATTAACTATGGCCTAAAAGAATCACTATAGCATAAAGTGGAAAATCTTAAGACGTTATTGTATACCATGGTCACATAAACCAAAACTTTAACTGCATTAATTACTTTTTGGGGATGGTCAAAAGAACAAGTATGTTAAAGCTATTGCAAATACTGAACCTATTGTATTAGAGATTAAATTACTGTTAAAGTCTGTTTAACATCTATCAAAAAGAACCAGAAGATATTCCGGTAGTAAATTTCATTGACTAGTTAATTGATAAACTGTCCTAAGTCTGTTCAATATCTATCAAAACGAATTAGAAAATGTTTCAGTATTTTTTCAGTAGAACAATAAACTACTTGTAAACAACTTTAATGGGAGTTATTGTAATGTTTATAAAATTACCTGGATAGCTCCATTAAGAGCGCAATAATATTTATACCTTTGGCATTTCCAACTTTTAAAATGGTTAAAATTTGAGGAATTTTTAAAATAAAGCATATTGCAACAGTAATTACGCTTAGAAAATTAGCAAATAGTGTTATAATATCGTTGCCACTAGATGTAACCATATTTAAATTTTAAACCAATAAATTACTTTTTAAGAATCCTTAGAGTTTAAAAAGAGGATTGAGGGTTATGATTACAGTACATAGCCCTCTAGCAAGGTAAGTCCCATAGAAATATTTGGGAGAGTTTCTAGCGCTAAATGCGGACGGGCCGAAACTAATTTCATTTGGCGGCAAAATTAAAAAAGAAATGGAAAATAAATAGTCATAAAATAAGAAATAAAAACTTATTCTATTCCAAAAAAATATATTCTCACTGTCCAAAAATATAATATACACTTACGCATTTTTATATATGTACAGTAACAAGCCAAAGTCCCAAAAATAAGAAAATAAAATACAGATATCCTGACACTTGTTTATTTGTATAATTTCCTTTGGTAAAGTATTAGCAACAAAATATCCAATATTTCAATCAAGGCTTTCACCCATCTACAAAAAATATTCTTTTGATTTTTTCGGTTTGGAATACTAATAACTATAACCATTCTGGTATTTTACCTTCTTCTTTTTTAGCACTATTTATAGATATTTAAAAATTGATGTATACTATTTTTATCTCCTACTTTTAAAATTCAACGTTTTTTGAGTCCATTTGCATTTGTCAATGACGTATATTGCAAATGCGTAGATTACAATGTTGCCACAATTTTATTTTCGCTAGGTACTTAAAATTCTTTAGAAATGTTATTGTAAATTTAAGTGGAAATTTTGGTAGAATTTGATACAATCTTTGTCTTTTGGAAAACATTGCATAGTATAAAGAATCATTATTTGAGTAAATATGCAGAACTAGTCAAACCATGGCAACACTACTTACATCAACGTCACACGCCATTATGCCATTATATGGCTATATCATGCCCCTATTTAACGTGACTAGTAGCGCCGTCGCTATTACGAACGGCTGGACCCATGCAATTTACCCTTCCCATTTGTTCTATTTTACTTACACTAGTAGTTGTGGTTTATACTTTATACTGTTGTCATAATTATTAAAAGTTGCCAGTTTGGGGTATTTTCATTTTTGGGAAAATTTCAAAGGGTCTGGGGGAATTTTTATAAGCTAAAATGGATGGGGGATTTTTTGGTCGTTTTTTTCTTCATGTAATGCTCTATTTAGTCTGACTTATCCTGTTAAGGTACGTTTTATTTAGTAGATTTCCTGTTTGTTGTCATATGTGTTCGGCTCTTCTTTTTTCTGCTACAAGTTCTCTTATACAGAGGGGTATTATGGTTTTCTTGCACACTTCTTTGGCGATGTGGTGTTGCTTTCCGTCCTGTTGTTAAATAGTCCATATTTTATATGCTTCTATAATTTCATATTTTAGAAGCAGTAATATCGGTACAGTAGCTCCCTAGAGGTACAGTAAGGAACTAAAATCTTGTTCGCCTTATTAAACTTCATCCCCTGCTAAAAAATAACAGTTAAATGTCCTATATACGTCTATATCGGTTGCTTATACCAATATACCATCTCAATGTGTCCATCTAGCTAAAGTGAGGAAGTGTCCATCTCTATTATGGCATAAAGTGAAAAATCTTACGAAGTTATATCACGGTCACATAAACCAAAACTTTAACTGCATTAATTACTTTTTGGAGATGGTCAAAAGAAAAAGCTATTGCAAATACTGAACCTATTGTATAAGAGATTAAATTACTGTTAAAGTCTGTTTAACATCTATCAAAAAGAACCAGAAGATATTCCGGTAGTAAATTTCATTGACTATTTAATTGATAAACTGTCCTAAGTCTGTTCAATATCTATCAAAACGAATTAGAAAATGTTTCAGTATTTTTTCAGTAGAACAATAAACTACTTGTAAACAACTTTAATGGGAGTTATTGTAATATTTATAAAATTACCTGGATACCATTAAGAGCACAAAAATATTTATACCTTTGGCATTTCCAACTTTTAAAATGGTTAAAATTTGAGGAATTTTTAAAATAAAGCATATTGCAACAGTAATTACGCTTAGAAAATTAGCAAATAGTGTTATAATATCGTTGCCACTAGATGTAACCATATTTAAATTTTAAACCAATAAATTACCTTTTATTAGCGTTTAAAAAGAGGATTGAGGGTTACAGTACATAGCCCTCTAGCAAGGTAAGTCCCATAGAAATATTTGGGAGAGTTTCTAGCGCTACATGCGGACGGGCCGAAACTAAATTTAGTTGGCGGCAAAATTTAAAAAGAAATGGAAAATAAATAGTCATAAAATAAGAAATAAAAACTTATTCTATTCCAAAAAAATATATTCTCACTGTCCAAAAATATAATATACACTTACGCATTTTTATATATTGTACATTAACAAGCCAAAGTCCCAAAAATAAGAAAATAAAACACAGATATCCTGACACTTGTTTATTTGTATAATTTTCGCTGGTAAAGTATTACCAACAAAATATCCAATATTTCAATCAAGGCTTTCACCCATCTACAAAAAAATATTCTTTTGATTTTTTCGGTTTGGAACACTATAACCATTCTGGTATTTTATTTACCTTCTTCTTTTTTAGCAATGTTTATAAGATATATAAAAATTACTAGTGTCTAGAGCCTGACCCACTATTCTGTGCAGACTTGCGCAGTTCATTTGTATCCATATCTGAATGTGACAATGAGGTTTATGTCGTGTATTGTTGGTTGCATAAGAATAACTCTAAACTTTATAGTAAATAAATCAAAATTAAAGTTTTTTTAAAATAGTTTTAGAAAATACTTTTTGCGCATTTTTTCCAATAAAAATTTGTTATTTTATATACAGGATGTTTACTGATGTTATATATCAATTGCTATGATACCAACTTTCTTATTTTAAATGAAACATTGGTTAGGTATATTATAAATTTTTTGGATTATGCACAAAATTCCCAGAATTTCGATATATTGCATGTTATAGTTTTAATTAACTTGTTTTAGGATAAAAGGTGGTTAATGAATAGATCACTCTCTGCGTGTCTCCTTATGACTTTAAAAGGTTCTCTAATTTCAATAAAGAAGAGTGAATTCATTTTCGTATCTCAACTTGTTTTTAATAATGTATATAGTACTCATATAGGTACATATATATTATATATACTATCACCTATATTCTTTTAAAATAGATGTCAAATAAATGAAACCTGCCTATATTTTTACCAGGTGTGAAATGGAATGTAGGTAAGTAGGTATCTTAAAGGCTATATATTTAAAAGTTAATATAGAAGGGATTGTGCCTTTAATACATTGTATAATAGAAACAGTTAAATAAAAGAATGCCAATCCAATATATTGATAAAGTTCTTTGTATTGGATCCAATAACTAAATAATATACCTGGTGTTCTATCTAAAATAATAAAGTTGGCATCAGTATTTACCTGACATCACACTCTGTATAACACATTTTTATTGGAAACATATGCGCAACAATGAATATTAAAAAAACAGAGCTTTTCGAGGAACTATTCATCATTTAATAAATATATATATATTTATAAACCTCATTGTCACATTCAGAAATGCATAGAAATGAACTGCGCAAGTCTGCACGGAATAGTGGGTCAGGCTCATAGCACACTACCACCTAGCATTGAAACTTCCGTGTTGACGAGTAAAACAATGATTGGCGCATCACCTAGTGACCGGGCGCCTAACTATAAATACATGGCGCGAAATTCAAAATTTTTGTAATATTACCTAGGATTGTGAACTCATTTTAAAGTAAAGGAAAATCGATATAATCTTAAAATAACAAGAAAAATCCGTATCTTATACGATAATAAATATTTTTCGTATACTTTTTGGGTTTTCTTGTTATGTTGAGACTATATTTATTTTACATTACATTAAAATGCCAAAGTGGTCAAAAAATTAAAGAATAAAATATAGAATAAAATCTTTATTTATAAAAATATTACAAGAAATGTTATATGTGTTACAAGAAATATTAATAATACAAGCCAAGTGTACTATAATTTAGTTTTCTTAATGTTGTGGCAAGAACTGGTCAGTATTTAAATAATTGTTTTGTCTTAGTATGTCAAGTTTTATGTAAATAGAAGCCTAATTCTGCAAAAGGCCTTTTACTACAATTTTATTCTCAAAATTTGCAAAGAATTCAAACATTGGTATATAACATTCAAGATTTTTTTAGAAAGCAATTAATCTAAAGATAAATCCCTAGAAGACAAAATAAGTACATGCTTGTAATAAATTTAGTCTATAATTACATAAGCGAAGCAATCAATGGGGAAAACCAATTGCTTTTTTCACACATACTCTCACAGATTCAGAATGAAAACATGCAAATGCATTGAAGTATTAAAAAAATGCAGACATTATCTGGTAGGAAAGCAATTCAAACCAATCACAGATTAAATCACTATTTTGTTTATATAGAATGCTGGCATATATAAAATCTGACAAGGAGAACTAGCTTTACTTCACAAGAATTTATTAATTATCTCCACTCTAAAGGAATATTTCAAGTAGAACAACACCATATAACCATGAAGGAAATGGTTAAGTTGAAAGATACAATGAGTTTTATAGAAATTGGTGAATCTAGCATTGAAAACCAAATATTTAGACATCACTAAATGAAAAACTGCTTTACCAGGAGCTCTGTACTATATAAGAAGTTTACTATTGAATTGTTATATTATTGAATCACAATAATGATGAAGATGAAGTCCAAATAACACATTAGAGAATTCCACTACTAAATCAATGCCAGATGTGACAGAAAATTTACCTGTTCAAAAACCTGATGATAATTATGAACCAAGATTGGAAAATTCAGATTTTCAATCTAGCTGTAAATCAGCTGGAGCTAAAAATAAATCAAGATAGTTGCAATATTTTGTTCACAAATAGGGAAGGGTAAATGTAGTATAATTTAGTGTTCTAAATCTTGTGACAAGAACTTGTCAGTAATTAAATAATTTTTTTGGAATTCTAATGTCAAATTAAAGCCTAATAAGCAACAGACAGCTGTCAGACATTCTGAGTTCTTTGTAGTACTTACATCCTAATCTAATAACACACACTACCAGTGGTCAGTGAGAACTCTTACTGTCTGGCGTTCTACTCACAGAAAAACAGAACTCAAGAACTCTGCTAAGTTGGAAACAGAAAAATTAAATGATTTAGTTCTAGAAAGAACTTTATATACATTTATATGATAATATTTTAGTCATATTTAAACCTATAAACCCAACAGTTAGCTCTAAGATTCTAAGATCCAGCACTATAAAGATGGAAAAATAACATTAAAAATAAAAAAACATGTAAAGTAGTGGTGGGTTGCGATTTCACGAACTGCTACTTTGTCACTGCTACAACGCTGTCACAGTCACAGTCCGCTACATCTGGAATAATATAGCAGTGACACTCAGTCACGTTTTAGTCTACTGTGACTGCACCACTTCGGTCCGGTGTACGCTACACAAGACGTTGCGCTGGTCCATAGATCGTAATTGCGACAGTGACAAGCCTTGTTGACGGAACATTTTCAAAATGGAGCAGTCGCTCTCATATGGTGACTGTGACTATTATTTGCTATTTGTAACATAAGGAACGACGTGGTCGAGCGTGGGAAAATAGCACCGTTAAAAATCCGTAACAAGTTATTTTCTAAGTCATATTAAATTATCATAAAGTAAAAAACATAAGAATTGAATAAAATAAAATCAATATATCTACTTATTTCTAAAACTTTTAAGGGCAAAATCACAATAACCAAAGATAAAAATAAAACAGTGGTACAAAAAACAACGCAGTACAAAAAATATTGCCTAAAATAATTTTTTTTTATAAAGTACTATAGTAAAGTTTTATAATAAAGTCTATAATAATATTTTATAGTAAAGATTTATAATAAAGTAAAGTATAACATATATAATTATAAATAAAGTTTTGTTTTGTTTTAACATAAAAATACAGAAACTAATAATGATAAAGAACCTACTGACTATATATAATACTTTTATAATACAAACCTTATAATAAACAAAAATAAAGAAAACAACAAGCATGTCTTTTGCTTAAAAAATAAGGTAAAATAAAATATATTTTCGAATATTCAAAGGTAGCAATAGTAGCAGGGTAGCAGTTAAGATTAAACTGCTCCAAAAAATCACTGCTTTTTGTCACCGTGACAATACTGGAGCAGTCACATTTTGTCACAGCTACACAAAAATCGCAGGTTGGCCCACCACTAATGTAAAGTATTACCTAGTTACAATAATAATATGAAGTATTTTACAAAGTTACGTTTCCAAACTCTATCTTACCAGTAACTCTTTTCTACTAATATTTATATATTTATTGAGAGACATATTAAATACATTTAGATTTAGGTTGTTCTTTTGATTAAAAGTACATAGATGAGACAAACCATGATAATATATGGTACTCTAAGACCAATCTCACTCACAAGAGAGAGACAGATCCCTCCTCGCACTTAACGGCAAGCTCATGGACCTCTCCATATGATAGTGTAGTCATGGTCTGCTAATCTAATCCAACTTTGAAACAGGCACACCTGTAGAAATTATGTCGAACCCTCTCTAAGGTGATGATTTTTTAAGATAGTTGTTGAACCACCACCTACAAAATAATTCAAATAGTAAGCAAGTAAGTCTGATTTTATAATTAGGTTAAATTTATAATTAACTAATTTTATAAGTAAAAGGTCACATACATACATATATTGGCATAATAGTTCTTACCTGGTGCTGGTAAAAACAAACTCAGAAGGGCTGTTCTCGTAATACCGGTATGTCCAACATTAATTATATCATCCTCTTTAAAATGACTAGCGCATACACGAAAATTGTTATAAATAGTTTCTGTTGCAGCATTCTCTAATTAGGGCTTTTAACAGCATTCACCCATTTATCAAACATATCCATATTATAATCTCCTGGACTTGAAAAACGGTATTGCTTGCCAGCGGTAGTGTGCTTGCCTAGTATCCATGTAATCTGGAATAAATCTTTTTTGTTCAGTTCTTCGTCACTATATTGTTATTCCATGTAATGTGTTCGATTCCATAATAAAAAAATCGTCTAAAATTTTACCTTTTTGCACTACTTATATAAAAAATTTAAACTATAAAATAAATTATAAAAAATAAAACAAATAAAAATATGGCGCCGTATTTGTCTAAATTCAAGTTTTGATTTGACCACAGCACCAAAGACCATTTAGAGGAGTAGATGGTCTTTGCACAGCACACTCCCTACGCGTAGAAACGAGACTAGCAGCGCCACCAAACGAATGGGCGCCTAAATCCGAACGTGATTTGACATTGCCTATCCCTGTTACCAATCTATAAATTTTATCTATGGTCAGGCTCTAGACACTAGTATAAAAATTTTTTTTGAGTCCATTTGCATTTGTCAATGACAGATTACAATGTTGCCACAATTTTATTTTCGCTAGGTACTTAAAATTTTTTAGAAATAAGTTATTGTAAATTTAAGTGGAAATTTTGGTAGAATTTGATACAATCTTTGTTTTTTGGAAAACATTGCATAGTATAAAGAATTATTATTTGAGTAAATATGCAAAGCTAGTCAAACCATGGCAACACTACTTACATCAACGTCACACGCCTTTATTTGGCTATTTCATGCCCCTACTTAACGTGACTAGTAGCGCCGTCGCTATTACGAACGGCTGGACCCATGAAATTTACTCTTCCCATTTGTTCTATTTTACTTACACTAGTAGTTGTGGTTTATACTGTGGTCATGATTATTAAAAGTTGCCAGATTGGGGTATTTTCCATTTTTGGGGAAATTTCAAAGGGTCTGGGGGAATTTTTATAAGCTGAAATGGATGGGGGATTTTTTGGTCGTTTTTTTTCTTCATGTAATGCTCTATTTAGTCTAGACTTATCCTGTACGTTTTATTTAGTAGATTTCCTGTTTGTTGTCATGTCGGGCTCTTCTTTTTTCTGCTCTACAAGTTCTCTTATACGGAGGGGTATTATGGTTTTCTTGCATGATACTATTAATAACAAGTTAAATGGGATTTTTATGCATCCTGTGATGAAATTACTGGACAAAAATAAGTTAAGAAGTTTAATAATTACAATAATTGTACACATAAGGATATCTCCAAACGATTTATTAAAGATTATTTATTGACACATACAAAAAACTGACATTTCGAATGTGCAACTCTCCAATGATGTCACGACTTACGCGCAATATATTATCTTCTTATCATAGTATCATGGTTTTCTTGCACACTTCTTTGTTTGGCGCTGTGGTGTTGCTTTCCGTTCTGTTGTTAAATAGTCCATATTTTATATGCTTCTAAAATTTCATATTTTAGAAGCAGTAATAGCGGTACAGTAGCTCCCTAGAAGTACAGTAAGGAACTAAAATCTTGTTCGCCTTATTAAACTTCATCCCCTGCTAAAAAATAACGGTTAAATGTCCTATATACGTCTATATTCGTTGCTTATATACCAATTCAATGTGTCCATCTAGCAGATTTTCTAGTCTTCTGTACAGGTCTGCATTTTGGTGCTAGGTTCACCGGTGAGAATAAAGTGATTTTAAAAAGAATAGACAGTTAATTAAAATATTTTTATGTAAAACTAGAAAACATATATACAGAAGAGTTTAATAAACACGTATAAAAATAACAAAATAAAATACTGTATATAAAACTGTTAAATACTGGATAACATATTTTAACACCACTAAAAGTTTGAACGTAAGTACATTATTTGCCAAATCTTTTAAAGAATATTAGATATAAACATACACATAGACATAGCATTTACTACGTAAGAAAACTTAGAGAAATTTCATTTACTTCAATTTTTAAAGCAAATTTAGCTAAATGAAGCTAGAGACTATAAAAGGCCAAAGTGTGAGCTATAGAGGATCACTAATGATACATCTTGACCCTAATACCTGAATAAGGATCTTGGTTTAGAAATTCTAGAGTGTACATGAAAGGAAATGGATGTATACAAGGCTGAGTCCTCCGTAAAAAAAGGAAAAACAGATATGGTGATTTTCATCTTTGCAAATCTCGAAAAACAGTAAGATAAATGTGTCAAACTTTAAAAACTATCAATGCCAATATCAAGGCAAGTCCTTTTATAAAAGTCAAATGGTAATAGAATTAAGAGTTAGTTAGTTACTTCCATTTTTCCAATCTCAAAAAACAGTTAAGCTACACGTGTTAAGTTAAAAAAAATAAACGCTAATTATGAATAAACAGACACCAGGACTATAACAGTTAAAAATATTTGTTTCTATGTACACTACTACACTAACAGAAATGTTCTTGAGAACAAATCTAAAATATTAGCTTCAATTGACTCTTTGCTGCTGTCAGTTTTGAAGTTGTATTGGGCGACTTCGCTGAACTCATCGGCGACTTTGCTGTTCTGGTTGGCGTCTTAAAAAGACTTTTTGTTACAGTTTTTTTCGGAGTGTTGATGTTAGATAAAACTCCATCTACGGTTAAACCGTTGTTGGCGATCTCAGCGGCATTCAATGTGCTGCGCAACTCTACTCTGCTGTTAACGTTATTCTAAAAAAATATTTTTGATTAATATTAAAAAATTGGAATTTTGTACTTATATAATATCTATAATATAGTATATGTATTTACAGTGAAACAATATATACATTTGACAACTACGTAAAGTTGAAAAAGTGCTCAATGTTCCAGAAATAGTTTCCACAATCTTTTAAAAATTCTAATTTTCAATGAATCACGAGGAAAAAAATAACTGAATTAAAAATTCCATAGTGCAAAGAACTTTATTCTGGTTTTGGTTATCGTAAATCAAAACTCATGAAGATGACTCAATAGAGGAGCATAAAACCTCGAACAAGAAAGAGATAAGGGGCCTTATTCTTGAATCGAGAGAAAATTTTAATCCCCACTAAGCTAACTCGCTTTTCTACTCCATCATAATTTCTCTCGATTTTAAAAAGCTGTATTCTTGAATACTGGGAGTAGAAAGGAATGAGAGAAACTATGAACAGTGTTGCCGGGTTTTCAATGAAAATTTTAACCAATCACAAAAGTTAATTATTGACAAAGGACAAGATACTGTCAACCGTCAATCTGATCACTCCCCTTAGTGGTGGGCCAACCTGCGATTTTTGTGTAGCTGTGACAAAATGTGACTGCTCCAGTATTGTCACGGTGACAAAAAGCAGTGATTTTTTGGAGCAGTTTAATCTTAACTGCTACCCTGCTACTATTGCTACCTTTGAATATTCCAAAATATATTTTAAAATTTGTAAAAATTTTCTATCTGACAAAAGAAATGGGTCCGTTGGTTGGAGGATATCCCGGCCAATTTGAAGACCTTCAACTGCCTCCAAAACATCATTAAACATAATATAATTCCAGTAGAGCATATGATTGATATCCATCTTTTATTAACTTCCGCTTTTTAAAAAAACAAAATACTTCCCTAGGTTTTTGAAAGGTTATGTATTGTTATTTTCGCTCCCATTTACAATTTCTCCTACCTACTATCAGTAGAAATTGTTATTCCTTAGGGAGTGACATTTCTCTCACACATTAGGAGAGTTTTTTTCAAGAATACAGCATTTTCGGTTTTAGGGAGCCACGGCTACTTTTACGTCACTTTCTCTTGCAATTTCTACTCCCTGAAATTCAAGAATAAGGGCAGAGGTAAGCGGAGGATTAAAGAGGGGGAAAAGAACTACTAATGATTCTCGAAGTTAATGACGCAGTTAAAAAACTAGCCAGAAGCAAATCACCGGGAATAGATAATCTCTCAGCGGAACAGTATAAAGAAGGTTACCAACGATACCATAATGGCTCTATGGACACAGAAATTCCTCTCCAGTGATTAAAATATTGGAATACTTTGCAGACTGAAAAAAAAGGAGATATCTTTAAATGTTCTAACCACAGAAGAATTAGAGTAAACACACTCCTTTACAGAAATACTGGTCAGAGACGAAGAGAAAGACCCAGAATAAGATTCCTTAAGAACATTGATACAAATATGATAAATATGGGAATACGTCCTTGTCAGAGGAAGGCGATGGATAGAAACGACTGGAGAGAAATTCTCGAGGAGAATCCTAAGGTAGAATCCTTGTTATTCGTCTGATATATTAAGTATTTTTGATATCTTTACTCCTCTATGATTGCTGGGCTCATTTTTTTTTCTTCTTTCTTAAATAGTGGAAGTATAATATTGGTTCTCCATTCCTTAGGCATTCCTCCTAATCTTATAACCTTATTAAGCATGATTTTTTTCTGCTAACGCATTAGCTGAGGTCTTCCATATTTTAAGACCGCGTTAACATCATATTTTTCTTATTCATTCTGTAGCTGTACTGTACTAAATAAAGTTCTACTGTACTGTAATAAAGTTCTACCGTTTGGTTGTCCAATATCCAATACTGTTCGATATTACTTCTTCTTCAAGTGCCATCTCCGCGGTGGAGGTCGGCAATCATCATAGCTATTCGGAGTTTTGAAACGGCTGCTCTGAAAAGTTCATATGACGCACATCCGTACCACTCTCTCAGGTTGCGCAACCATGACCTCCCTATGCTTCTCTTTCATTGAGTCTTTCCCTGCATAATCAGTTGGAGCAAGGTGTATTTCTCTCCACGTGTAATATGTCCGAGATATTCTAATCTTCTTGTTTTAATTGTATTTAAAATTCCCATTTTTTTATTCATCCTTCTCAGAACCTCTTTGTTTGTGACGTGTTCTGTACACGATATTTTCAGTATTCTTCTGTACACCCGCAGCTCGAATGATTCCAGTTTTTTCATTGAGTTTGCATTCAAGGTCCAAGATTCCATTCCATAAAATAAAGTCGAAAAAACATAGCACCTCGCCAACCTAACTCTTAGTTACAGTTTTAACTCACTGGTACATGGCACTCTTCTCATTTTCAATATAAGGTTGAATGTTCGAATAAATGAACTTTGATGGTATACAAGGCAAATATCGAACACAGTAATTAATTAAATCTTGCCCAAGTACTTTCGATCAATAGATCATCCTCAGGGGCATTTCGTCGTTGCTGCCTATCCGACATGAGCAGAATGTCATATAAATATGTAAATTTGGACATAACAATATAATACACAAAGAAAAACAAACACTTTAAAATTTTTTAAAAATGGAGAAGCTACATGTTATATAGAAGCCGGAGACAGAATGGCTCCCTCTCTAAACCGGGAGCTGGCTCCCTCTCTAGACCGATGTTCGTTAGCACGTACTTTTGCTCGCACGTACTTTATCGAATGCTTTTTTATAGTGAGTAAAACACGCGTATATATCTTGATTGACGTCCAGGCATCTTTGTATCAGTATATTAAGTGAAAAAAGAGCTTCACGTCCTAGGCCTTCTCAATGGTGCACTAATCGCTGCATTCTCTTGCGTTTTTCTTTTTTGAGGGAGGCAAATAAAAATCGATGTTTAACCACTCTTTGCGTAATACGCCTGAACTATATATTTGGTTCAAGAGTGTCACTAAAACATCAATGTGCTTTTTATCTAGAATTTTTAGGATTTCTATAGGAGCATGTCAGGTCCAGGGCTTTTCCCACTCTTCATTGATTTTAATGCGTGTAATATTTCTTGTTTTGTAATATATGGACCTATTTCTTCTGACGTAAGTTCTATATGCTCCAGATCTCCTTTTTTATCGTCAAACAATTCGTCGATATATTCTGCCCATCTTTGTACTTTCTCGTCCGTATGTGTTATAGTAGTCCCGTGTCTATCCAGAATTGCACAAGTGGGATTTTGATTTCTTAGTCCTGCCAGTTCTTTAACTTTCTTGTGTAGGTTAAACAGATCATGAGGGTCTTCGATCTCTTTGCATTTCTCTTCAAACTATTTTTCTTTTGCCTGCTTTATCATCTGCCTGATCTCGTGGTTTATCTTTCTGTATTTGTTCTGCTCTTGACAGAATTGTAACAGACGGTCTCCTATCTCGTTTCGATTTCTCAGACCATAGTTTCTTATACACTTTCCGCTTTGTCACTTTCCAATCTTTGCATTGAGATCTTCTTCTTCTTCAGCCTGTGTTCGTCCACTGCTGGACATAGGCCTCTTCCATTTGCTTCCATCGATTTCTACTTTTGGCAATTCTCATCCACTGCTTGCCCGCGACTTGTTTGATATCGTCTGTCCACCTCTTCTGCGGTCTGCCTACTCCTCGCCTGTTCTCTCTTGGTCTCCAGTTTGTTAATCTTTGTGTCCATTTTTCGGGATTATCTCGGGCAACGTGTCCGACCCATTGCCACTTGAGCCTTGCAATACGTTCTGAGACATCAGTAATTTTTGTTCTTTCACGAATGACGTTATTTCGAATCCTGTCTCTCAAACTAATCCCTAGCATGACCCTCTCCATTGCTCTTTGGGTTGTACTGAGCTGCTCTAAGGTTTTCTCTGTGAAGGCCATGGTCTCCAGTCCATATGTAGTTACAGGCAAGATACATTTGTCATAAACTCTACGTTTTAGACACATTGGTATATCTTTATTCTTCAAAATAAAGCTTAATTTGCCGAAAGCTCCCCAAGACAGTTGTATGCGTCTTTTTATTTCGGCTATTTGATTTTCTTTGCCGATTTTAATGGTATGTCCAAGATATATATAGTGGTCTACATTTTCAAGACTAACGTTGTCAATAACAAGATTAGTTTGTAAATTACTCATTATTTTTGTTTTCTGAAGGTTCATTTTGAGACCTATTTTATTTGACTGCTGGTTTAATTCCTTCAACATTTGCTCCAGTTCCTTGATATTTGTACTAAATAATACTATGTCATCCGCAAACCTCAAATGACTCAAACGTACACCATCAATGTTTAGACCTTTTTCCTCCCAGTCAAGCTGTTTGAATACATTTTCCAATGCTAAGGTAAAAAGCTTTGGTGAAATAGTATCACCTTGTCTAATACCTTTATCAAGGCGCATTTTTTCAGTTTTTTCGTCTTCATTGATTTTGATGTGGAATGTGGCCTGTTCATAAATGTTTTTACTGAGTGTAGTGTACCGTGAGTCTATTCGAGCATCCTTCAGGGCTGACAAAAAGGACCAAGTCTCAATACTATCGAAAGTATTGAGATCATTGAGTGCATTGAGATCACCTACCGTGATTTCTCTTGTTTTCGTTATTCATCGAAGTACCTCTTCGATATCTCGGTAAAATAATTCTACTTCTTCTTCGTCGATATTCGCCGTAGGAGCATAAACTTGTATCAAATTCAGTTTGGCATGAGATGTCACTAACTTTAGTACCATTACCCTTTCTGAGATAGGGAAATAGCATTCCACCGCTCTATTAGATTTTTTATTCGATATTACGGGTGACTACTTTTACATTCTGTACCAACACTCTTTCTGGATATTTTAATTCTCCTAATAACTCCTAAATATTCAAGTTCACATATTCTGGTAGTACGATTCGTGAATGTTTTATAAGTCCTCTCTTTTATTTATGTGGTGACTAAAGTGTTTATTTGGTACACAAGAACCGTTATTTGAACAACTGGATTATGCCACCAGAATTCATCTCACAAACGTACAAGAACGGCGTTATAACATTTATTTAAAAATCACAGGCTACAGAACGTTTTTGGACTAAAAAGTCCATCATCAGTGTAATATTACCAGGTATTTATGAGTCAAGCCACTGGGCTTGAAAATATCTGGGTAAAAAATCTTAAAATGTTACAAAATTTGTTTTGTTATATTATTGTTAAAAATATGTTGTGATGTAAAGTATTTAACAGATATCATGCATAGCAACGTAAGACTCCCAATAAAGGTTGTTGATGACCGTCAGACCTTGTCTGAATGGGTTCTAGATGGCAGCTAGAATTTCATTTTCCTTGTGGATTATATTTTGTCCCAATTACGTTGCTGAGAGAATTTGTACCTTTGCGGCAGAGCCCATTGCAATATAAACCAAACTCTTTAACCATTCGTCATCGCAGCAAATGTCTTGTTTCTAGTTTTCTCAGAATCAATAGAAACATCCGGTAACGGAGAAACATTTTCCCTGATATAATTTTTAATGCTGAATTGGAATCTGGCATTAGTGTGACTACGTTAGTTGCAGTTTTAACGCACTGATCATACAAAATGATAGATCAAATGTTTTTAATTATATTCAATCCCATAATAAATGAGCACTTGACTATGATATGATACTGAAATAAAAGAAATAACCAAATTGTTAGATGCAGATGTAACCAAAGCAAATGAATCCATATGAACTGACAAAAAAATTAAGTTTTCTTAACTCATCGTCATCGTCAGTATGAATCAAACTTCTTGTAAATACAAACCTCAAACTCTATATATGTGGCATTAAATTGGTGGTTCTCCTTTTGTCTGCTTAGTCGCCGTATTTTTTCTATTCTCTTTCTTCTTTCCGTAGATAGCCTCTTAGATCTGCTTAAAGCCCCAACAGCAATACTTGGTGTATTTATTGCTGCAAAGTACACAAAGAAATAAAACCCTACATAACTAAGACTGGAATACAAAATAAAATCACTACTAGATTTTTAAATTTTAAGCTGTTTAAAGTAACAACATATAATAAAAAAAAACTAAGAATATACTCAACAACGTACAATCTATAGGGCCGTAAATCTACCTAGTTACATCAAAATATAGAAGAGAGTAACTTTTACACAATACCCAAGAGATATTAAACAAAAACCCATTTAGACTTACACAAAAATGTGAAATTAAAACACTAGCAGAAGAAAAACAAGGGAAGATCTTGCACCGACGCTATATATATATATATATATATATATATTATATATATATATATTATATATAATGATGCAAGTGCAAAAGAAATCGTTAGAATACAACAAACCGTCATATCTATGTTTCGTGGATCTTAAGAAAGCATTTGACGGGGTCCAATTACAGGACGTTATCCAATTATTGTACATAAGAGAGATACCTCTAGGAACAATCAAAACGATTGAAAATATCTACCAAAATAATACAATAAAAGTAAAAGTAGAAGTAGAGCTAACCGACCCTATTGAAGCTGGCAATGGGATGAGACAGGGAGATTCCCTGAGTCCTCTATTGTTCAACCTAAATATGGATGAAATAAAAAAAGTAAGAACTAAAAAAGGATATCAAATGGGAGAAAAACAACTTAAAATAATCTGCTATGCAGACGAGGCAATACTACTCTTTCAAAGTGAAGATGATTTACCAATTTAATATAACCGCCAGAAAATTTAACATGTTAATTTCCCCAACAAAGATAAAATGCATGGTTACAACAGCAAATTTACTAAGATGTAAATTGGAACAGGAAGGTCAGATAATAGAACAAGTGATGGAGTTTAAATATCTAGGCATCACATTATCTAGCTACGGAAAGCTCGAAACCGAAGTGGAAGTTCAAGTGAAGATTAGGTTCAAGTTCAATAGAGCAAACAGAACCACGGGCTGCCTAAATGAAACAATATGGAGAAATAAAAATATCGGGAAAGAAACGAAAGGCAGAATCTACAGTCATCAGACCAATAATGACATAAGCGGCAGAAACAAGACCTGAGACAGAAAGGACGAAAAGGATGTTAGAAACAGCAGAGATGAAAACATTTTAAAAAAATGGTAAGACACTATGGAACAGAGCTAGAAGTACAGATATACATAGACATAGATGCAAGGTGGAGAACATTAACAACTGGGTAAGAAACAGAAGAGTAGAGTGGAACGATCATATAAGCCGAATGACAACAAATAGAGTAGTAAAGACGGCAAGAGACGGCTCCCCAATAGGAAGACCATGAAAATGATGGAATGACAATTTACTGAGAAGAAGCATTTAAGCGAATCGCTGCTATATTTATATTTTATCAGTGTCACGCCGAAGCGCCTACATCAATATTTTGGAACTAGTTATGTAGTTGTATTACCAATAGCCGAAATAAAAAGACGCATACAACTGTCTTGGGGAGCTTTCGGCAAATTAAGCTTTATTTTGAAGAATAAAGATATACGAATAAAACGTAGAGTTTATGGCAAATGTATCTTGCCTGTAACTACATATGGACTGGAGACCATGGCCTTCACAAAGAAAACCTTAGAGCAGCTCAGTACAACCCAAAGAGCAATGGAGAGGGCCATGCTAAGGATTAGTTTGAGAGACAGGATTCGAAATAACGTCATTCGTGAAAGAACAAAAATTACTGATGTCTCAGAACGTATTGCAAGGCTCAAATGGCAATGGGTCGGACACGTTGCCCGAGATAATCCCGAAAAATGGACACAAAGATTAACAAACTGGAGACCAAGAGAGAACAGGCGAGGAGTAGGCAGACCGCAGAAGAGGTGGACAGACGATATCAAACAAGTCGCGGGCAAGCAGTGGATGAGAATTGCCAAAAGTAGAAATCGATGGAAGCAAATGGAAGAGGCCTATGTCCAGCAGTGGACGAACACAGGCTGAAGAAGAAGAAGATTACCAATAAACGTATTCTTTCAATAATGTCTTAAATCTGTCACCGAAAGTTAAAGAAGTTCCAAACAAACACTTGCCTCAGATGTCCCTGTAACTCTAGTACCAACATCACAATACCGTATAATGTTGAAAATCACCTGGAAGATAAACTAACTAACCAAATAGTACTGGCCAGGTCGTACAAACAAAAAGAGGTCGTGTTGACTATTAAAATGAGAAAATTACAATATCTTGTACATGTTACATGCGGAGATAAATAATATAAACAGTTACAAGTGATTATGAATGGAAAGATTGGAGATAGACGCGGCATACCAAGATTGTCTTGGTTAAGAAACTTCAGGGAATTGTTCGCTTAGACAACCATCATATGGGAGATGGCACGTGAAGAAGAAATCAAAATTAAATACACTTAGTTAAAAATCTCGTATTTTTATTTTATTAATTATATGGTTAAACAACTAAAAAGTGATCAAAACTTGAGAATTTAATTGAAACAACGCGCCCGGTTGTGTAACTCAGAAAGTGATACTTGTCCGAAGATTAATAAATTTTACAGCTTATAAAAAATAATCATAGGATAGTTAAGCATTATTTACTTACCACGTGGTTTTCTTTTTGGTTCCGTGTAAACTTTTCGAGGGGTTTCTTTAAACTTTTTTGCATCAGTACATGACGCTCCCATCAAAACTCTTTTGGAACTCGTGGCATTAGTATTGGGTACCGGTGTGTACACAGTCGTTTCTTTTTGTTGTTTTCTTGCACTTAATTTCAACTTTTTTGCCTGAAATAATCAAATACTTTATATTACGCGAATAGTAGTGAACATTTTTTTCTATCTAGCCCCTTGCACGTCATCAATAAGATGTCTATAATGTCGCACACCACAGTATGACCAATTCACGCTACTATTACAACTAGAGTCCTTTTGCGAAACGACCTTTCTATGCAAAATTGAAAAATCGTCATTTGATGCCTCCTCCTAGGAGGCATCAAATTAAACAGAGAGAAAGAGTGCTAGATTCGGCGTGACCACAGAAGTTCAGCAGGAACTTTTAGTGTTCCGCATAACGTCTGTTTCACATCAAGAATTTGGCCTTACCGAAGATAGGCCATGCGCTAGAAAATCTAGATTGGAAGATTGTCAGAAGCATGCTTGAAGTGATCTTCCGAGAAACCGGCGTACGAATTACTGTGTACGTGTCACAGTTCTTAGAAGTATGAATCTAGAATATTCGATCGTTGGCATTCTCGATGCGCTTTTGTCGTGAAGGATAGAGGTGGACTACTCCAGAATATTCTAGTACATAATAACTTGTATATATAATTAACGAGGATATTAAGTTTTTAGTTGATAAGATATTTTCGTATTGTAAACATAAATATATTTATATAAATTAGAAGTGCTCGTATATACTTCATTACATTTGTAATTGGAACTTCACTATATACCTCTGATCTGAACACACATGCATTATGAAAACTAACTGTTAATTTTTTATAATAAACTCACTAAATTATCTACCATCCCGACGACAATACTTCAACACTATGAGAAAATGCCTTCAAACTGATAACGTGCAAGAATTTAATAAGAAATTACCAATAATTGCATATTACTCAAATACATTACACTTACACATTCTCTGGTAGAATGTAAATTATTTATGTATTCCTCAATAGTTTCTCCAAACGTCAGGAATGGTACCCCATGTCTAGCTTCATATCGATATCCTAATTCCATTAGGTTCGTTTCCAGTATGGGAATTTTCTTTGACAGGAGGTTTCTTTCCTTCTCTTCCAGCAATAGCTTCCCACCTCGATTATTGAAACGACCAGGCCCAGCTGCACTTTGTTCCAGGTCTATTAGCTTTTCCCAAAGAGTTCGATGTTTGTTTAGAGCAGCTATTATTTCTCTTAAAAAGGTATTATAATTAATTTTATAAAAAAATCTATACAAACGGAATAACACTTAATTTTAAAAATGTAAAAAAATAAAGAAAATTAAAGAATGGCACGGCTCTTGGACAGTTAATCTGTGGGATATTATTTGGTTATACCTAATTCACACCTGTCCTGTATATTGGACGTTGGGGATAAGAACTTCTCCACCCAGTCCATGCAATACACACTGGACAATTCTGGAGATCTCGTACTCAGCTCAGAACTCTAATTGATGGAGATAATGTTGATGTCTTGGTAGACTTTTAACTCCATATACAAGACGGGACACATACCCAAAGAATGGCTTCTCTCAACTTTTGTAACGATTCCAAAAATCACAAATATAAGTGATTCACAGATGGGTTTTAGAAAGGGTCTAGGAACTAGAGAAGCATTATTCGGAGTCAATGTTCTGACACAACGATGGCTGGATATGAATCAGGACATATAAGCTTGCTTCATAGATTTAAAAAAAGCTTTTGCCAGAGTTCAACATGAAAAGCTTTTAAGTATTCTCAAGACCAAAAACATAGATAGTAGAGATCTACAAATTATATCGAATCTGTATCAAAATCAGAAAGCAAGAATAAGAGTCGAAGGAGAACTGACAAAGGAAGTAAGTATACTTAGAGGAGTTCGACAATTCACCACTCTTATTCAACGTCTACAGTGAAGTGATATTTGAAGAAGTTTGAGTTGTTCGGTTGCAGCTCATTAGAACTATTCAGAAGTGCGGCCAATAAAATTAAAATAGCGATGATGATTTCCAACCTCCGATAGGAGAAGGAACCTGAAGAAGAAGAACATTAGAAACTTTAAAATTCCACTAAGAAACTAAGTTCCTGTAGCTGGCTGTATACCATATATCACAAAATTTTTTATTAGAAACTTTGACTAACAAAATTGATGGTAGAAAAAACAGGAGTATTTTCAAATATAGTACTTCTTTTTATATCGAGGTACCACTATATTGCTCATAAACTGTAAGATTTATGAGCAATTTAGTTCATACACAAAATAAAAACAAAAAGTCTACTAAGACATTTATTATCGTGGAAACTAGTTTGATAAGAAAAATAAAAAAAATAGTCTTCTACAGACAGTGTACTTTGGAATGAAATATTTAATATAAATATTGTTTAAATCGAATACAACTTTTTAAACAAACTTACTTATTTTCTTCTGCATAAATCTGCCATTTTTTCAGTTGTACTTCATGAAGTTGTAGAAGATCTTCAGTATAAGTATCAGAATTAAAGAACAAAAATTCATTCTTAACGGATTCAGAACAGTGACAACGTTCCCAAAGCGATTGCAGTTCTTGGCGCAATTTTTCAACAAAAACCTAAAAAAAATTCATCACATAATTAAAGAATGTAATGATTTTTTGTTCAATTATAAAAACTCTTAGTGGTAACAGAAGTAGGCTGACAAGCGAAGGTCAGAGTCATAGGACAGAAATATAAGGAAATATTTAGAGGACGACTATGTCCAATAATGGACAAATCGGGCTGATTGATGATGATATTAAAACTCGAATCATGTAAAGTATTTAGCCTCTTCCCTTTTAAACTGATTTATTTTCTTATCAGCAATGACCTTAGATAAATACTTAAAAGCCTACTTAACTTTGATAAAAGAAAAAACAGCAAAATTCTAGCTAATGGATAAAAGGGTATCAGATATCCAGGTAAAATAATATAGCAACCATTGTCAAATGGTAAATATATATCAAATGATACGATATTCTTTGCAGATAAGAGAAAAAGTTTGGGATCCTATTGTTATGCATCCTTTTTTAATTTTAGGGTGTTTTTATGACAGTTTCTACTCGAATTCTACCTTTAGCTACTATAATTCTACTTTGTACATATTGTACCATGCATTGTGCATACCAAACCATGCTTCATCTACATTGAATGATGCATTTTTTAATCTAAATCTTCTAATTTCCGGCAGATAGTTAGGGAAAGGGTGGGCATAATGGCCACTGCGGGCATAGTGGTCACTGGTTGTTACTGCAACGTATGGTGTTGATACACAGCGACGGGCTCGTCAACTCTTTCATTTGACCGTTATCTTGGATGTGTTAAAGGTATAAGCTGTTCTGATCATTTGTTTAAAAGTTATTGAAAATTTTCATGTATTTCATCATCCTGATATAAGGTAAGTATATTTAATTAATTATTACAACCAAACTTTCATTCATAATACAGGCAAATGATAGTAACGTCTTAAAAGAGATGTATTTAGGCTACTAAACGATATGTCTGTGTAACGCCTTGCTCAATTCGTTTAGCGTAGTGTAGCATTTATATAATGACGGTGAATAGGGCAAAGTAGCCACGTCTATGACCACTATGCTTCATACAATACATCAACATTACTATATACGATTATTGTAGCTTTATTTAAGGTGAAAATGCCGTGTTTCTTTCATATTTTAATACTATTTAAATAGTAATACTAAAAACGTTTTATTTTTTTCAGGAGTATCGATGGTGTCAAAATATCAGAGGAAGAGTCATCAGCAGTCATTGGACCCTGCAGTGATGCAAAGAGCAATCGACGCCGTGAAGAAAGACAGAATGCCTTATCTAATGGTTGCTAAAACTTACAATGTGCCTAGGAACACACTAAAACGTCGCGTACTAAATAAAAATCAAGACGCCACTGACAATAAAAAAGTATTAGCCCATTTTCGAGCTATTTTCAACGAAGAATAAATACAGCAGTTGGTACATTATCTCTTGGAGATGGAGGTACGTTTTTTTGGAATTATTGTAGTTGAATTGGGCAGCCTTGCTTACCAACTGGCTGAACGGAATAACATAACCCAAGGTGTCAATAAAGAAACGAAATTAGCAAGAAAAGATTGAGTAACTGGGTTCAGAAAGCGCCATCCTGAGCTTGTGTTAAGAAAACCTAAGGCGACCTAAGCAGCAAGGGCGCAAGCATTTCACAAAACGAATGTAACCAAATTTTTTGAGATTTTGGAGAATGTTCAGAAACATCGCTTGTATCCTCCTCATAGGGTTTACAATGTTGATGAAACTGGACTTATGACTGTCCAGTCAAAGTCTTTGGTTTTTGCTCTAAAGGCAACGGCAAGTCGGATCTCTTATATCTGCAGAGAGAGGTGTTCTCAGCACATCTGTAATTTCCATGTCAGCTGGGGGAATTTGTATTCCTCCTTTTATCATCTTCCATAGACAGCGGATGAAAGTGGAACTTCAAGACGGGGCTCCACCTGGAACAGTTTTTGTTTGTCATGGATGCAAACTAAGATTTTCCCACACTGGTATGACCATTTCTTGAAGTTTACTAAGCCATCCGAAGACACCCAGTTTTGCTCATACTTGTTGGAGATTCCACCCATACAAAAAATCTAGATTTCATTGAAAGGACTAAAGAAAATCACACAACTGTAGTTACCATTCTCCCCCTCCTCACTGTAGTCACAAGCTGCAGCCACTCGATCGTTTCTTTCACGCGGCCCTTCAATACTCATTATTATGTCCAAGCAATCGAAAGATTATTAGTATCAGGTATCTAAACTTCTTGGTGAGCAATTTCCATTTGCAGCTACTCCAACTATTGCGGTAAAGGGGTTTGGAAAATGTGGCATAGTTCCTATAAACACACAGTTTATTGACGCGGATTTTGCTGCAGCCATGACCACAGAAATTTCTGTGTAAGATTCTATCTCTCTTCAAGAACCTGAAAAACCAAGAACTGGGTGTTGAATACCAAGAGGTAACTTCTGCTGAGGTGCTAGGAAAAGATTTGGCAGATTCGCAACAAAATATTCCTCGACGCTAAGAGAAACCACTTGCAAGTAAAGAAAATTTCACTGTTGGATCTGGAGAAATCCAAACTCTACACTCGTTCTAATCTCTAAAGACTAGCCAAAGCCAAGTACTTCAACACTCCAGCCCAGTCCACTGCTTTATTTCAGTACTTCATGTGATTTAATCAGCAGATCCAAGGGCAAAGTACACTATACTTTTGCTGTAAGCCCACAGAATATTGTTCCAATCCTTAAAGCAAATATTATCAAACGAGAAAATAAGCAAAAAAAGGAACAGCTGCACTTTTGACCTTAAGCCATTTGAAGATGGAACTAGTAGCAGCAAAAGCTGATAAAGAAGAAAAGGAAGGCTTAGGAAAATAAAGCTGGAACTGAACAAAGAAAAGCAGAGTAACAAGAGGAATAAAGGAAGCAAAGAAAAATTTAAAGGAAAGTAGAAAAAGAAATCAAAATCAGCGAAGCGCGCTTTATTTAATGACTCTAATGAACAGTGACGTGAGTGATACTGATTGTCTTTTCTGCGGTGACTTATATTCCAAGTCAAGGGAAAATGAAGGATCAATAAAGTGTTCGGGCTGTTTACGATGGGCACATGAAGCTTGTGCTGGGTGTGAAGAAGAATACACTTTCATTTAGTATACAAATTCCACCTCATGGCCAGATTGCCCCACCCCGCAGGGCATCGTAACCATTTGGTAAATTTAGGGTAAAAAATATGTATCTAAAAAATTTTCTAAGATAAAGTAAAAATTCAAATTGCCTTATGTAGCTAAGTATATAGGATATCGTGTGTTAATATATAGTGTATTTCTTATTTATTTTCTTCAAGATAAAAAAAATCCTTAGCATGGCCACTCTGCCCATCCTTCCCCTACAAGTGCGCCCTCTATGAGATTTCATTACTTTTTTTGTTTTTATATTCCGATATATAAAACCCTTTCTATAAATAATTGCATGTACAGGTAATATGTACAGGGTGATCAAATTTTGTGACAAAGTCTGGTATTATAACATACCAAAAAAGTTATTTACGTTAAGTTAAAAGGTAGCTGTAAGCTTCGCAATTTAAAATTAGTTACAAATATACAGTGTTTTTCACATCAAAGATTTTTTTTAATGAAACACCCAGTATCCTATTTTAAATTTAAAATTCGCTTCACTTCCGTCCAATTCCGAGGCTTCTGTTAGGTTCTATGAGCATTAATTTATTTTGACAGTAGGTAGGCTGCTAACCTTGCTCACCAACCCCCTTTTCGGAGGACCATTTCTCCCTTCCTCTTCAGCCCTGACCCTGCCTTCAATTGGGGTTGGTTACATAATCTCCAGCAAAGTTGCTCAGGTTTTCCAGGGTTCACCCTTGCAGCCCAAGCCACACTTCGTGGAGGTGAGGATAAGCAAAATTGTAGAACAAGTAATGAAATTCAATAACCTAGGAAGAGAGATCACTAGTGACAGGGATATAAGAACAAAAACCACAAGGCAAGCAGCAACAGTAAGTGGTTGCCTCCGAGAAACCATATGGAAAAACAAATATCTAACAAAATGAAAGTATACAAGACAACAGTAAGACCAATCCTAACATATGCAGTGGAGATAAGGACCGATACAAGAAAGACGAAACAGCAAATCAACAATATCGAAATGAAAGTATTAAGATCAATAGCGGGCATATCATTAAGAGACAGACAAACCAACAGAAGTATACGGAATGAACATGTATACATTAGCGAACATCTGTAAAAACAACAAGCCGTATAGCAGAAGACCCCTTTGGAAAGCCGCCAAAAAGGTTAAAGATAATGTACAGTCAACAACGACTGAAACAGAATAAGAGGCAGACAAACAGAAGTAACCCTAGTCGCATGAAGAAGAAGACGAAGAAGCTTCACTTCTTTGTTATAGCTAAGAAGCTAAGCTGTTACAGCCCCAAGTTAAGAATATTTTTTACACATCCCTGCTACTTTTATCATCTAAGATCTGTAACAATAAGATAATTATTTTCTGTAAAGGTAACATCCAAATGTAACCTATAAAAGCGATTACAATAAATTAATTCTTACCTTAATATTGGCCCGCTTTAACAATTCGTATTTCTGTAATTCCAGCCTTAAAGATTCCAGAGTTGTTAGTGAATACCCTGTGTATTTTTTACGAATTTCTTCCCTTTCCATAAAATCAATATCTAGCAGAGTCCACAAATCTTCAATTCTGTTTCTTAATTGGCCTATTTCCTCTTTTGTATCTTTTAAAGTTTTTGTCATGTTGTCATGAAACGTTTCAAGCTTTTCAATATTTTCCTCAGTTACCATAAAGTTCCGCTCAACTCCATTGATAACTTCATTTTCAAAATTTGTTGATGGCATATATTCCAGCTCTTTAACAATATCTAACAACTCTTCCTTTAGAGTTGTGTACTTTTCCAATCTGTCAAATTTTTCTTGTTCTAATTCTTCAACATGCTTTTGAAACTCAAGGATTTCTTGTGGAGAGGGTAGATGATGATCATTTAGAAGGCGGGGAGCTTTTCCCAAAGCTTTGCTAAGTTCCAACTGTTTGTTTCTTAATTGATCTAAGGTCGATTGTCTTGCCTTAACCATCTGTTCCAATCTGAAATAAAGAGGTAAGAGTAAGTAGCTTGCATAAAATAAAGCTACTGGAAGTCAACAGGTGTTTTTTTAAGTACATGATGAAGCTATCACAGTTTATTTGATTTTAATTCCACTATATTTTCTATAAAAAATATGCTGTGGGTTGAACATATGGGGACAGAATTCAATAGATGTAAAGTCATTTACTGAGGCCAACTATCTATCGTCTGTCGGCAAATTCAAACAAAGATATAACTTCCAGACCATCTTTTACCACCTTTAGCCCAGACAAATTAATATACGTATTTAATATATTTTTTACCACCAAAAATGAGATGTTTTAACCAAATAATGCTTCAAATATAATGTGCAGAATAATTTTGAATTATGTTCCGCTAATGAACTTGCTATTTTGTCTTTAAAAGTAGAAAAAAGTTTCAATTATATTGTTTAATATTTCGTCTAAATATAATCGTCTGCAATTTTAACTGTACTAATGCCCAAATATCAATTTTCAAGTTTTAAACTGAATGATTTACGATGAGTACTCTGGTTGTAAAAATGCCGGCAAAACAACTAGACTTGAAAATTTTTAGCTTAATTGTGTTGAAATTTTGTTGTGAGTAGTTACAATAATTGTAGTATTTTTTTGTTGTTTGTTTTTTTGAAACTGTCTATTTGTGTATAAAGAAACTGTTTAGACCATGAGAAAAATCACCTACAGTTTTTTGTGCATGGGAGCAAAATGATCCTGAAAATAGTTGTAAAGGCAGTATTATAAGAAAAGCAGCCTTTTCCAGAGGCCAGAATCTTGAAAAGTTAAACAGAGAAAAACAAAATCGGATGCTGGAAAACCTAAACAAATTAATATCGTGATTGCTAGTTGTTACAGAATTTGGTTTACGAGGAATACAAAAAAAATGTAATACCAACAATTGATATTTATGTTAAACGCTCGTCACATCAACTCTAAAGTATGGGTTGACAATTCAGTAACATCTTATAAACAAATGTTTTTAGATGGACTTTCTACGGGGTTAAAAAAATTCTTCATGTAAATGTTTATGTGCTTTTTCACTTCAAGTAAATTTTAAAATAATAAAATTTTCAGGAAATGGAAAAAGACTAATAATCTATCACATTGGCAGTGAAGATGATGGGTTTGTTCCAGAAGGGCTGTGGATGTTTGAATAAAACAAAAGTGGGGACTACTAAAAGTGGGAAACCTTCGAAAATTGGTTCAAAAATATACTGCTCTGATTAGAAGACAACTTCATCATCGTATTGGAAAACGTGTCTTATCATTATAGAAAATTGGAAAAAATTCCAACTACTGCTTCTAGAAAAGCTGACATCCAAGCGTTGCTGACATAAAAAAATATGGGTTTTGTGGACTCCATGTTAAAAGTGCAACTGCTGACTATTGTTAAGGAACATAAGGGACAATATAATAAATATATCATTGATGAGATGGCAAAAAGCCAAAACAAAGTAGTGTTAAGGCTGCCCCCAAACTATTGTGAGTTCAATCCGATTGAGCTCATTTAGGCAAAAGTAAAAAATTATGTAGCAGCCAAAAAAACTTCTTTTAAATTTGCAGATATGAAAAATATTTTTTATGATGCAATAAATAATATTAGTCCAATTACGTGGCAGAAATGTGTGCAACATGTTCAACAAAAAGTCAAGCCTAAAATGTGGAAGTTGGACAATATAATAGAGATCCATATCGAACCCATAATAATAAATCCAAATGAAGAGAGCAGCAAATGTAGCTCCTCAGACTATGAGTAATTTAAATGGTATGTTTTTATGCTTTGTTAAACTTTTCTTCAATAGAACATTAAATTTAGCTCACAATAATTAAATTTCAAGAAATTCTTACACTAATAGTTTCAAAAGTAAATATTTATAAAAAATCATAATATGATACACCTCAGTACGACCCTGTTTGGTTTTCACATGCATTTGTTGACAATTGGGAATATGTAAAATGAATGTAGTTTATACCCTTAAGAATTTACCTGTATTACTTTACTTAAAATTAATTTATTAATTTTTCTATAGAATACTTACTCCATAATTTGTTTCTTTAATTTTAGTTGTTCTTGGTAAAGACCCAACTTTTGTTTTCCAATGACTGGCATTTCAATCTGCAACATCTTACACAAAACTTGTATTTTATTTAAATACCTCTCAATGTTTTCGATGACTTGTTCATGTAGGTCGTTAATGTCTGTCACCATTTCAGAACATCTGAAAAAAGTGATATATATTTGTCCAGTAGCAATAAGGTGCAGATCATATATAGCAAAGGCACAAAATGAATAAATTAATGATATATATATATATATATATATATATATATATATATATATATATATATATATATATATATATATATATAAATTAGTATACCTATCTTCAAAATGACGAATGTATGAATCTTTCCATACAGTAACATCTTCCTCGTTCTGGCTCATGGTAAGTACAACTTCCACCCAGTTCAAAAAAGATTTTTGTAACCCCATTTGCAGTGTTTTCCACATATTTTGTGCCCAAGGGACATCTTTTATTCTAAAACATAATTTAAAATAGCACTTGTTAGGCACCTGAATAACTAGAACGATGTACTATGTTAATTGCAAATTGTTTAACCTAATAATAATCTCACTGTAATGAAGTTATCTTCACTTTAATGAAATTATGAAGACTGTGGCTGGTCTCAGCTTTTGTGGAGAAAGAGTTCTGAACTAAGTAGGGATTCTTCAGTGCTCCTCAGAAGACAGACTGGACGGGGAAGTCCTCAACCCCGACAAGGCACGTCCCATATGGCTGATAGGAGATGTACTGTATATTATACAGGATAGGTGCGAATAAGGTTTGCCAAATAAACACCCGCGGATCAACTGAGGTCATGGTATAGGGCAGCAGCTATGCCATTACTAATTCCAAGGCTGGGGAAGAATGCCTTCTTAATAGGCTTGGAATCAGATACTTATGGGTGACAATCAGATATTGCTTTAATCGGTTATAATACTGCAGTGTGCAAGGCAAGGAGAAACCAACACACTAAATATTCTCAAGATATTATAACTATGGCAAGTTATGGAAAACAAAAGGCCCCTAGTCTGTGGCAGACCTAAGATGGTCAAGGGGTGCTAGGAATCCCCACAACAAATGCTAGGAACCACCCAAAAGTGGAAAACAAAAATTACAAGGTAAAAATTGAAACCTGGAATGCAAAATCTCTCTTTATGCCAGGAAAATCTCATAACATCGTGAGAGAAATAAAAAGAATGGGAGTCAACAATCTCGGAGTCAGTGAAGTTAGATGGCCAGGATCTGGACAGACAAACATTGATAACTGTGTAATATACTATGCTGGTAATGGCGATCCTCATCATTATAACAGAGTGGAATTTATAGTTGACTGGAAAAGCAATAAATGTATAAAGAACTTTATACCTACATCTGATAGAGTAGCTATGCTGCAAATTAATACCACTCCTCGTAATATAAACTTTATTCATCAGAAAAACAAAGAATACATGGATGACAGAGAAGAAAAAAATCACTACAACAACTTTAGTAGATGATAACAACCAAATAGTATCTAGTCCAGAAAATGTAGGGGATATGTGGAAAAAATACATCAAATATCTGTTTGATGATGAGAGAACAGAACCACAAATGAATATAGTACAAGAAACGATACTTGATACGAAGATACGATATATTAACATCAGAAGTTACATAAACAATCAATACGGCAAAGCCAGGAAAAGCCTCAGGTCCAGATGAAATATACATAGGGATGATAAAGCTTATCAATGAAGAAAATCTTCAGACATTATTTAATAAAATATATACCACTGGAATCTTCCCAGAAGACTGGCTTAGATCGACATTTATACCTATACTCAAGACAAATAAAGCAAATAAATGCTCACAGTTCAGATTTATTAGCCTGATAAGCCATTTTCTGAAAATTTTACTCAAAATTGTACATCAATGAATATACAGAGAATGCAAAAGAATCCTGAGCGACAATTAATTTGGATTTGTCTATCAGATAAATATCTGTCAGATAAAATGTCATGTATTCTTTACTCACATTACCTCCATTTTTCCTACCTAAATCTACTATTTACCAAAACAACTAATACTAAAAACCAAAATACTTTTCTTTAGGCACAACTATATACTTTTTTGCCGAATATATAAACACGAAAGTTGAAGGTCGCTTCCGAGTATGTCCCATCAGATAAAACATAAATTTTTTATACTGTATTATTTTTTTACTGAACTAACTTTAATATTACATATTACTATTAAAAAACTTTACAGTGGAGTAAAAACGTATAGTGTAGACAGCCAACACCCGAGAACTTTCCCACTTTAAGCTAACTGGAATTAGGCGCGCCACAGAGACTATGAAAAGCCAATAAAAAGTATATAATATAATACTTACATGTCCATTTCTAAATCCTTTAGTTTACATAACGAAGACGTACTGACATCCATTGTATTTAAAATAAAACCGACAATAAATTATTTCTTCAAAGACAGGATAAAACCAACAGCAGATTAATATAAATATATAGTAATGTAGTTGTAAAATAACGAACATAGAAAATAACGACAGTATTTAACGGTCACTTCTGACTTCTGACATTTTCAAATTCTCAAAAAAAAAACATTAACCTCACAGAAATAAAAAGATTGACAGATCACAGTATGCGACGACTCCACCTGTAGTGGTATGTTCAACATTGTATTTGTGTTAGTTTAATAATTGTGGTATAATAATTAATAATAATGATGTAAGGGCTTTAATAAATAAACAAAAAAAAAACATTTTAAACTTCCAATATTAGAAATTTAATTACAGAGTTTTCTATGTAGAAATACATTTACGAAATGTGTGTTGCATATTTGATTATCCACACAATCGCGCCCGCGGCCTTCAATATCGCTTCTCCATTTTTATTTATCTGTATATTTGTATTTTACTTGTATATTTGTATTGTGTCTTGAGCTCTTATCATGCCTCCTTTCGTGAACATTTCGGCTCTATTGGATAAGGGAAAGGATAAGAGGAATTATGTAAATTCGTACTTTTAGTTGAAAAATAGATTAAATTATTTCAAATATAGTAAATAATTAATCTCTAAAAATATAAATTACAGTTCTGTCATAGAAAGGCGGCATTTGAGAGTGGGCAATTTGATTGTTATTTATTTTGTAGTATGGAGATACTACAAATGGTGAGACAAGGCTGTATATTGTCGCCTTTACTTTTTAACTTATATTCGGAGGAAATTTTTAAGGAAGCCTTAATGGAGACAACCGAAGGTATTATTGTGAATGGAGTAACCGTCAACAATATTAGATATGCCGACGATACCTTAGTCCTTGCCAATTGCGGAGAAGACCTTCAAAATCTAATGAACAAAATAAAACAGACTTGTGATCAGTATGGATTAAAACTCAACGTTAAGAAAACTAAATATATGATAGTTAGCAAACAAAATTATATACATGATGACGGTATAAAAGTCGGAGATGCCACACTGGACAGAGTAGAGAAACTCGTGTATCTCGGCAGTAATATCAATGAGAACTGGGATCCAACCGCAGAAATTAAAAGCCGAATAGAACAAGCCCGAGCTGCCTTTGTAAAAATGAGAAACGTACTTTGCAGTCATGATCTAAGCATTGACCTTAGAGTTCGTATGATATCTTGCTACATCTTTCCTGTCCTGCTGTATGGAGTAGAAGCGTGGACCCTAACTGAGGCTATGCTTAAACGCTTGACAGCCTTTGAGATGTGGGTATACAGACGACTACTGAAAATAAGCTGGGTCGACAGAGTTAGAAATGAGGAGGTCCTTAGACGGCTGAACCAAACAACACAACTGGTCAATATAATAAAGAAACGCAAGCTGGAATACTTCGGTCATATTATGAGACACCCTGAAAAGTATGATCTTTTACATCTGATCATTCAGGGAAAGATCCAAGGTAATCGTGGTCCTGGTAGAAGAAGAACATCATGGCTGAAAAATCTAAGGCAATGGTATGGAAAATCAACTACATCGTTATTTAGAGCTGCTGTCAATAAAGCCACGATAGCGAATATGGTAGCCAACATGATATCCAACGATCGATAGCGGTCATGGAACTAGAAGAAGAAGATGGAGATACACTTCCAAGTTTCTTAATATATTTATTATTGTTTTCCACCTTGCACAAAAAAAAGCATTCTCAATTAAATTAAATTCCTCGGTTGGCTAGGAGCTAGATGATTTGTGGCTATAATCCCCGCACATAAATGTCCATTATATAATAACTATTCTGCTTGCCAATTGTCAGTTGTCTTAGGATTAACTTTTATGTATATGTCTACTATTCCATTAGCCGTGTTAAAATATTTTATTCAGAAATTTCATATTTTATATTATAATATTAGTCCTTATAATATTTTGAACAATTTACAAGCTTTGAATTTTTCCCATTTTAGATCTTAAAATATTGACTACTAATAATAGTCAAAAAATGTAGTTTTATATTATTGACGATGTATTTATAGTATGCATATAAATAATACAAGTTTCTACTATAATAATAAACATACACTCCTGTATTTTATAGCTATATTTCAACGAAACGTATATTTTTATGAAATAGTCTAAGGAACAACCTATTATTAACTTTTCATTTTCTTTTGACTATGCAGTTTTTTCATTTTAAGTAACTCCAAGGACGCAATATACGATATAAACTTGAGCATCATTGTAAACATCATATAAAATTGTTATATCTTATGACTTAAACATTTTTTTTATGGTAAAAATGTATCAAATATTTTTAAAAGAAGTTTCTTATTCTGTGCTAATTGACATGAGTTTTGTATTGACAACTGGCTGAAGTTTCGATCACGTCAGGGTTAGTGTAGACACAAACTTCAAAATATTGTGTTATGTGTTTACTGTTTTGAGAATTTATTAAATGTAAAGTATGAGTTTATGGCTCAAAGAAAGTGTGTTTTCTCTAGTTAAATACTGGCTTTAATTAAACAAGTTTTATAGTCTGGTAAGTGAACAATATCTTATTTATTTGCAGAGGGCAAGGTATATCGGCGTAATCGATTATGACTAACCAAATATTTTTGCTTAATGAATTATTAGAATTTGTACCTATTTATTAGCTATTTAGAGATAATATTAAAGCTCATCTTAATGTCTTATGTAGCATTGTAAACATTTCGAATTATAGCATTTTTGGCACTAGTTTTAGTGTATTTGTGTTGTCACAATTGATCTTGATACAATTATAAAATCTAAAGTTTATTTATGTAAAATCAAATATGCAAGATTATAAAAATTACCTGGAAGAATTTAGGCACGAAAACATTAAGTGATCATACAATCTAAAGTCAAATTAATACATAGACCTTAATAAGGGGTCTCATAATACTTGATGGATTACTGATTACTGCTGTCAGAACTTATTTCAGTGGTTTCTTTTATATTGTCATATTTTCCATTGTTCTGGAAATATAAATCTGTAAAAAGTAATGAACATTTTTATGTAATATTTCCTATACCTAAATGCAATAATATCAACCAAAGATCAACAAGAAAGAATCATCTACTTAATATCTATAAAAAATTAATATCCTAGCAGAAATCTTATAACAAAATGTACTGAGTAAATTGGTAAAAGGAGCACTGAATCAACTGAAGATAAATCATTAAGATCTATTCTGGAGAAGATATTTCATTAACCTTGTTAGTCAGAAATCCTTTGTAATTTCGTAGAGTTTTACCAGCAGCTGTTGATGGTTAACTCTGTCATAGGTGGAAGTCAGGTCTATGAATGCTACTTCTGTTATTTCTTTCTGTTCAAACCCATCTTCAATATGTTGGGTGAAATTAAGAGTTTGACTGCAACAGCATTCTCAGGATCTAAACCCTGCTTGTTCAGGAATAATTTTAGTGTCCACAGATTCAGCTATCTGGTTCAGTATCATTCTTTTGAACGCCTTGAACAGGTAACACAAACGAGAGATAGGTCTAAAACTCTTTGTATCCGCCGGTTTTAAAAGGGCCACCACTTTAGCTTTCCTCCAGATTTTGGGAATTTGGAATGTACAGACACAACAGTTCATCATTTTTACGAGCCACTCTAGGGTTTTTTGGTCCAAAGTGCTTTATTTATTCTGTTCGTATATCGTCTAGGCCACCAGCTCTATTATCTTTCATTTGGTAGTTCACACCTCTCATCTAATCCAGACAAAAGGAGGTTCCTAGATTATCCTCTTCTTCATCGATATTTAGTTGTACTCTCACTTTGTTCTTCCTTGATGTCATCTTACCATTTGTCCGGAGACGATGGGCTATCTGATCAGGTGTGACTTTTGTCAGATTGGGTGCCAGGGCGGCGGGATTGTTGCCTAGATTCCGAATTAATTTCCAAGCGCGTCTTCTGTTTTGATTCATGTCTAGACTCGTGACCAGCTTGCACTATCTGTTTATTCTGTTGGTGGATATCGCATGTAACACTTCCTTCCCGGCTTGTACTGTTGCTTTCGAAAAGGGATTGTCTTCATATAGCTGCTCATATCTTTTAAGTCTTCTTCTTCTTCTTTGTCTAGCCATTCACGTCCACATCTGAACATAAGCCTCTTCAAGTCTTCCTTTCCATTATTTTTTATTGTACGCTACTTGTAGCCAATTTTTCCCGGCAGTCCTTTTTTAGATCATCTGTCCATGTCATAGGAGGTCTGCCTCTGGGTCTTTTGTGTTGGTATGGTCTCCAGGTTAAAATTGATCTGTGCCATTTGTTTAGATCGCTTCCTATCTTTTAAGTAGGGGTTTAGATTCTTCATTTAGCCCCGCTATGTATTCGTTTCGGCAACCTCTAGGAATCTATTTTTGTGATATTTGTTTTACAATTTGTACAAATTTATCATATGAATCAGAGCACGGTTCTAGCTGGGAAACTTCTTGATCTAATGCTTAAGCAAATTTTTCCCATTTTGCTTTAGTGAAATTGAACCTTCTTTTAAGGATCAAATTCGTATCTAATTGCCGCGTTCATAAAGCAAGTTATTGGTCCGTGCTATGTTTTTGGGAGGGCGCTTTCAACAATTTTTGTCACCTAGTCTCCAATTCTGTCGCTGACAAATATATTGTCTGGGTTGTACCCTCTGCGCCATCTTCCGCTGTTGAAAGACGCAGCTGTTTTGGATCATGAATAAGTTTGAGGTTCATGTTTTCAGCCCAATTTTCTAGTTCTTCGCCATTGGAGTCTGTTTCATTATACCCCCACGCGATACTGTGCCTGTTGAAGTCACCCAGTATGAATTTTATTTGCTGTGATTGAAAGTTATCCAGTTCCTCAAAGACAAAGTCAGCATTTGGCAGTTTGTAGATGGACATTACCATACAAGAATTTAGGTCCACTATGTGGATCTCGATGTCATCTCGATATGTTAAAGATGTGGAAACTATGTCGGTATCTGATCGGACAAAGACTGCACTACCATACTGGTCGTGTGCTCCAGTACAAGTCTCATACCTCAAATCCTTGGTCTGGGGCTTGCAATACCTCGATGGGTTTCTTGAACCAGTAGGACATCGACACTATGTTCTCTGCACATGTTAGACAGTAGA